ACTAGAAACGATAAAGCTGTAACAAAAGAATTCAGTAGAGATTATCCAGTTCTCAAAGAGAAGGATAAAAACCAGAAGCTGCCAGAGGAACGAGGTTGTTACTGACAATGAACAATAGGAATAAAAAGCTTGATTTGTCCCCACAGAAGCCAAAACCTGTGATGCTCTGAAAAAAAGTGGGAAAACTGGGCCCAGAGTGATGCTTTGCAGCTAAATCCTCAGTGCCAGGAACTCATATGGACACTGGATCGTGTCCCAGCTGCTCCGCTTCCCATCCAGCTTCCTGCCTGTGGACTGGGAAAGCGGTGAGCAAGGTTTAAGGCATTGGGGTCCTGCACCCATTTAGGAGACTTGGAGGAAGCTCCTAGCTCCCGATTTCAAGATCAGCTCAGCTCCAGCCTCTGCAACCACTTGGGGAGTAAACCGGCAGATAGATGATCTTTCTCTGTGTATCTCCTTCTCTCTGTAACTCTGCCTTTCCAATAAGAATTTTTTTAAATCTTTAATTAAAAAAAGTAGGAACAGTGTGTGTGCTTGTATGCACATCTTGCAGTTCTAAACTCAATGAGCATGTCCTTCATAAATAAAAATGGACTAAAGCTTAGAATATTTATTGCAGATAGATGAGCACTAGAAAATACCAAAGGAAGTTATTCATGGTGAAACAAATGATGCCAGATTAAAAGCAAAGAACTGCAGAAAGAAACATGGTTATTACCAGTAAATATCCATTCTGACTGCTTAAAATAGAGGTGGTTGTTTGAAATAGCTGTTTAAGTTGCTGCTCAGCCAACACTTTACATATTGGAATGCAAGATTCAACAGAGTAAAAGTGAAGAAAATTATCTGTAAATGAGGAAAGATATTGGCTACATTTTACACTCCTTTGTGATGAGTCCTTAACAGTCTAGCAACAGAAGCTAATTTTCCTCCATGTGTTGAGATGCACAAAAGTGTATCTGTCATACTTAGTGATGAAATATTGGGGCCTTATCAGGCACAAAACATGGAGAACCAATAGTGCCATAGCTATTCTGCTTCAGCCTGGAGTTCCTCACCAATTCAGTGAGAATGAAAGAAAAAAGATGAAAACACTGGGAAAGAACTAAAAGTCTTTTCATACATGACAAAATTGTGTATTTGGGAAATGCAGAAGAATTACAAAATAGTTGAGTAAAAGCATATATAAACCAGTTACATGTGTGCCTCTGTGTATTCTTCCCCTTGTTTTCATGTCATTTGGAAGAGAACTTCTATTTGCCGATCCCCCACGTGGATGGTCTCATCCTAAGTCCCAAGGAGTCACAGCTAAAACCAGGCACTCTGGCCTGGTTTGCAAGCATCACAAGTGGTAACCTAACTGCTGTACTAAATGCCTTCCTCAAATCATCTCTAAATATTCACATCACACAAGTAGAAATGAAGTGGGAATGCACATATTTACGATAGCAACTTCCAAAGTCAGTTTGAAAAATGTGTACTATACCCACGTTGAAACATACTGCTGAAGGAAATGACAAAAGGAGAGATCACCATAGGTTGAAGGCTTAAAATTGTTAAAATGTTAGTTCTTCCTACAAGGTGGGAAGCATTTTGGTGTGGGTGTTTTATACAACACAGGAGTGTTAGGGTTATAGTGCTGAGTTCTATTTCTCATTTCGGCTTCTGCATCCAGAATGTGGCACCTGATGACTGAATACCTGAGTCCCTGCCACCTATGTAGGAAACCCAAATTGAGTTTCTGGTTTCTGGCCTGGCCCTTCCCCAACTGATATAGCCATTAGAGGAAGTAAACCAGCTGATAGAAGAAGACCTCTCTGTCTTTGCTCTTTGCCTTGCCTTGCAAATGCAGTCAAAATTTGATAAAGATTATTTTATATTTAAACTCATTAAAGAACTGTTCATCACAAGACAGCATCAAGATATGGAGATAAAGACAATCCCATGTTAAAGAATAGACAGAAGGCTTAAAATGAACTTGTCTGGGGCCGGGCGCAACGGCGCACTGGTTAAGGTCCTCACCTTGCATGCCCGGGATCCCATATGGGCGCCAGTTCTAATCCCGGCAGCCCCGCTTCCCTTCCAGCTCCCTGTCTGTGGTCCGGGAAAGCGGTCGAGGACGGCCCAAGGCTTTGGGACTCTGCACCCGCGTGGGAGACCCGGAAGAGGCTCCTGGCTTCAGATCGGCATAGCATCGGCCGTTGCGCTCAAATCATCGGACGGAAGATCTTCCTCTCTGTCTCTCCTCTCTGTATATCCGTCTTTCCAATAAAAAAAGAAAAAATGAACTTGTCTGGAAAAGGATAGCCAGGTGGTTCACTAAGCAGATGGGAGGACCGCTGTACAGCCTGGGAGGCAACAGTTGCGGCACAGCTAGTTTGATTTCTATCACTCAAATGGGAGACCAGCTTCTGTTTGGCCTCACTGGGTATTAATGGGCACCTGGGGGAGTGAGCCAAGGGACAGGTTACTGTCCTCAAGTAAATGTAAAAACAAACCGGAAAACAAATATAAAAGTTCATGGAGGGCCCGGCGCTGTGGTGCAAGTGGTTAAGGTCCTCGCCTTGCACGCCCGGGATCCCATATGTGCACCGGTTCTATCCCGGCAGCCCCGCTTCCCTTCCAGCTCCCTGCCTGTGGCCTGGGAAAACAGTCGAGGACAGCCCAAAGCTTTGGGAACCTGCACCTGCATGGGAGACCCGGAAGAGGCTCCTGGCTTCAGATCGGCATAGTATCGGCCCGTTGCGCCCACTTGGGGAGTGAATCATCGGACGGAAGATCTTCCTCTCTGTCTCTCCTCTCTGTATATCCGCCTTTCCAATTAAAAAATAATAAAAATAAATCTTTAAAAAAAAAAAGTTCATGGAAAATGAACCTATAATTTAGTTACTTGACAAAGGCTAGGCCTTTGAAAAAAAATCTTTTAAATTAATTCTTATGATGTGATTGGTTGTGAAATGTATTTTATGTGCCATCAATAAGGTAAAAGACCATTTCCAGTTATCATTTGTAAGATTCTGTTGATTACAAAATATTTCATGACTTCAGAGATATTGGTTAATGTATGTTAGAATCGGAAATGGAAGAGATTTTTCTATGATATGATTTTTAGTTTCTCTGAATTCCCATTCCTGATAGGCTAAAGCATTATTATGGCAATATAAAAATATTAGAATTACTTAGAAAAGCAAAAGTAAACACATAATTTACGGAGAATTAGATAGGAGGTAAACGACTCAGCATTATAATTTGGATACTTTAAATTGACGCAAAAAATTAACCTACATTTGTCTTCAGTTTCATAATGGTTGGATCAAGTTATCTTAATTTTACTGACCCAGAGTTTTAGAACTATTGAATCGCAACATATATTGTGAAGCTTTTTATGAGCGCTAAAAATTGTTTTTGTCCATTGCTATTATTTCTTTCTGTTTTTGTCTGTTTGGTTCTATTTTGCTTTATTTTGTTTTTCTTTTTACTTCATTGCTATTATTTCTACCAAGTAACAAATATTAGGCTGCCAAATATTTGCTGAATGAGTTAATAAATTTTCTAAGTAAAAAGTTTTCATTGTGTATTTGTCATCTGGAAGAGGCCAGAGATATTTAATCCTATAAGTACATACTTTTTCTCCCTGTAAAGCTTCCTGCATTTAAAACCAATATCAAGGGACAGGCACCAGATGGAGCAGTTGAACTGCATCGTCCCATATCCAGGTCCCTAGGTTTGAAACGGCCCCACTCCCAGTTCAGCTTCCTGCTGATGTGTATGTGGGAGGCAGCAGATGATGTCTGTGTTCCTGCCACCTAAAACATGAGACCTGGATTGAGTTCCCAGCTTCTGACATTGTCGTGACTGCAGTTAGATTTGCAGGCACATTGGAGAGTGAATTAACCTTTGGGAAGTCTCTCTCCCTGATGCTCTGTGCTTCTAAAAAACAAAAACCCTAATGCCAAGGGGTGGGTGTTTTGCACATTGGTTAAGAGACCACTTGCAATGTTCTTGTGATACATTCGGGTGCCTGAATTCCTCTGCTTCTGATAAGCTTTGTGCTAATGCACATTCTGGAATACACAGATGGTGGCTCAAGTCTTGGGGTCCTTTTGCTCACATGTGAGACTCTGATTTTGCTCAGGGCTTCAGCCTATCCCAATCCTGACTTGGAGATGTTGGGAAAGTGATCCAGTAAATGGAAGAGCTGTCTCTCTTCCTTTAAAATGAAAGTTTCAATATTTATTTGTTTGTTTGAAAGGCACCGATTGGCTGTGCACAAAGTGGAGAGAAGGGAGATCTTCTTTGCTACTTCTCTCCCTTAAATGACCACAGTAAATGGGGCTTGGTCCTGGACTTGACCAGCCAGGAACCCAGATCTCCATCTGAGTCTCCCATTTGGATGTCAAGGGCCCCAGCACGTGGGCCATCCTCCACTGCCTTCCAGGATATGTTAGCAGGGAGCTAGATGGGAAATAGAGCTGCTAGGACATGATTTGATTCTCTGATATGGGGTAGCAGTGTTGACAGGTGGCTGTGTAGTTCACTGCCTTTCCCCCACTCCCTCATATGTTAATTTTTTAAGTGACTTAATACTAAGATTGAAAATTGTTCCCTCAGTCTCAGCTGGTGTTCAAGATACTTACTGGAGCATTCAAGATGATACCCTCTCTGGTAGTAGAAAAAAGAACTCTGCACCAGAAGTGGGTGGATGATTAGTGTTTGAGAGCTACATTGTACCCATAATAGTTTCGTTGATCACTGTGTTGAAATTTAATGATTGTCTTATTAACTGACATAGTTAGTAACAGATATTTGAATGTTGTGTCTGTTTCCTCTGTTAAGTCCTTGGTGCTTTTATATTTATTAATATACTGTTGAAATATATAGCTTTTATGTGTGGGGACCTAGTTACCTACATCTTTTGTTTTTCTTTTAGCCCTCTTTAAAGGATTATCCTTTTGTAGTTGAATTGTGTGGAACTGACCAGTGTGTTCATTGTTTGTCAGTACGAGGGTGTCGACCAGGAAAGATTGTGCAGATGACTGAAGCAGAAGTGCGGGGCCTGTGTATCAAGTCTCGGGAGATCTTCCTCAGCCAGCCTATTCTTCTAGAATTGGAGGCACCACTGAAAATTTGTGGTATGTAAATGAGTCATGCTTTTCTCTTCTGTGCATATGTTGATTTAGAGGGAAACTTTTTTTTTAATATGGAAAAGTTTAAATTTCATTAAATAAAATTATAAACGTTACTTTCATAAGAATGACATTTTTAAACAAATGTTTGCATATATAACTGCTAAAGATTGCTGTTTGTAATATATAAAGTTTTTAGAACAAGTAAGAAAGTGCAATAGAGCATAACAGAAAAACAGGAAGAAGAAGCTCTTAGAAGAAATTCATATGATTGATAAATGTAAGGTTCTTAGCTTCACTGGTAATAAGTAAAATTCAGTTTAGAGTAAGTCTTCAATTTAGTCATTACAAAAAAAAGATCAAAGATTAGTATTTAGTGTCATCAAGGATGGGGAGAAACAGACGTTCTAGTACGATGATGAGAAGCCATAGATATAAATTGGTATAGCAGTATGTGTGTTCGCCTTTGTTGTCATTGTTGAATTTGTTTTGAATTTAATTTTACAAATTGTATTTGGTTTTTTAAGTCTTAAGGTGTTGGCCAGAAGCAAAAATTTAAGTATGGTCAGAAAAATTGTTACGTGGAAAGTAACATTTTTCTGTAGTTTATATGATGATGATATAAATAATGTACCATGCTGGCTTTTGATGTGATTATTCAGGTATTTTTTAGTTATTAGGATTTATACATACTTTTAAGATTACCAGCATTCTTTGCATCATTCTTACTGAACTACATTCACACTGCGCACTCTGTAGATGCTTACTTTCCATTTTTTTTGTACCGTGGTTTATTAAATAATTCATTTGGTACATCTTTGTTCAGTGCCTTACAAATAAGAGGTGTTAGCTAAGGCATATATTTTCTGGATAAGTTGATTTGTTTTTAGAGTGTCACCTTGGCAATATTTAGAATTTTGTAGAAGTGATCTTTATGAATTCAAGTGATGTAAATGTAAGTGGATGCTTCTCTATGGCCTGTTTCTGTTATAAATACCCATATGGCTCTTGGCAGGAAAAAGGTTCCTTGTCCTTGCTGCAGTGTATCTGTTCATGACCCTCGTGGTTGTGTGCTGACCCAGAGCCATGGGTGAGTGCCACTGCCCCACGACTTGGTGCGGTTTTCTGAAGGCTCAACTATGAAAGGATTCAGTTCCTCACTTCCTAAGTGGACAGAGAGCCAGTTAGAAAGGAGTGCTGGCCAGATGCCACCTTCAGTTCATTTCTGTGTGACTTTCTCTAGAAGATGGTTGGCTTCATTAGTGAGCCCAGAAGAAGGCGAGAGAGTGCCAACAAGACAGAAGTTGCAATCACCCAGGCAAGGAGACTGAAAAAGGACATGTTCATTGGCAGTTCCTCACAGCCGTAACCACTGTTAACAGAAGCTGCTTATAGTAGTAGCCAATTTTTCTAAAACTTACTTTTTCTGTTTTTAGGAGATATTCATGGACAGTATACAGATTTACTGAGATTATTTGAATATGGAGGTTTCCCACCAGAAGCCAACTATCTTTTCTTGGGAGATTATGTGGACAGAGGAAAACAGTCTTTGGAAACCATTTGTTTGCTATTGGCTTACAAAATCAAATATCCAGAGAACTTCTTTCTCTTAAGAGGAAACCATGAGTGTGCTAGCATCAATCGCATTTATGGATTCTATGATGAATGTAAGTGAAAATAAAACTTAATTAATGTTCCCTAATTGATTACAGAATTCCTGTAATTCAGTGTGTGTGTGTGTGTGTGTGTGTTTAGTATGATCAATGAGGTATGGATCCAGGAAGAGAAACCTGCAACTGGAAAATGTTACGAATTAGATTGGTTCCTTGGGCTCTTGGTCATGTTTCCGACTGACTACAGCTTCCCAGGCTGGAGAGGCCCTCTTGTTTCTGTTTAGTTTTTCTAGTAAGATATCAAGTGAAAAAGAAGTTGCTATAAATAGTGGCTTCTAGTTTTTCAACATCCACTAAAGTTGTAATCCTTTACATTCTTGTGATCTGTTGGAAGCCCTTAATAATCATGTGTCATGCAGACTATTGAAAAGTTCTGTGAAATAGCTTATAAGCCAGAGTGTATTATTAGAACTTAAATCTGTGTGTGCAAATGCAGAAAGACTAAGACCTGCAGTATTATGGTTTTCCATATTTTGTCAGAAGGAAAATACAGATTTACTGTTGTATAATAGTGTTTCTGAGTGCTTTTACTAAATTTATATTTAGTCATTCAATTTTGTTAGATTAAGTATGGAAGCAAGTTTGTTAATTGAAGTTTAGAATCAGTTACACTGTTACATTACAATTTTAACTATTAATTACTTTTTACCCTTGTGTTTTCCATTAAAATTTATTTTTGCAACTTTTCTATCTTTAAATAACTTGGAGTCAGTTTCATATGTGTATCTCTTTACTTCATACAATGATTTAACAGGTTTTGAGGAAGGCAGATTTAAAGAGGATCATTCACTGATTCATGCCCCAAATGGCTGCAATAAACCAGAGCTGCAGTCAAGAGTCAGAAGCTTCTTCCAGTTTCCCAAGCACTTGGGCAGTCCTCTGCCAATTTCTTATGCTGTAAGCAGAGAGCTGGATCAGAAGTGGAGCAGTAGGGACCTGAACCAGCACCCATAGGGAGTGCCTGCACAATGCAGTCAGCTTTAACCCGTTAACACTGCAGAGGCACTACCTACATTTGATTTTATGTTGTGTTTTTATTTCTGAAATGTAATAAAAGGCAGATTAAATTGCTTAAACTAGATCAGTAGAGAATGAGTGAGCTGGGAAACACTTGTCCTCGGTAACCACAGGGGACTGGTTCTAGAACCTCCAGAAGACATGCCAGAATGTATAGCTGCTCAAGACCTTTGTGTATGGCATAATGTTTTCACATGGACTGCACATCATCTCTGGATTACTTATAATTACCTAATACAGTGTAAATGTTCTGTTACCAGTTGTTACACTGTATTGTTTAGGGAATGATGACAGTAACAGGCATGGGTTGTTTTTGTCTCTGTTTTGGAACTCTCAGGCATGGATACAAATGGCTAACTGGACCTGAGACCAAAAAGGGAGTCAGCACTGTGCTGTAGCAAGTAAAGCTCTTGCTGTGAGTGCTGGCATCCCTTTTGGGCATTGATTGGTGGCCTGGCTATTCTACTTTCAATCTAGTTTCCTGTTACTGTCCTGAGAAAAGTAATGAAAGATGGTACAACTGCCTGGGCTCCTGCCACCCATGTGGAAGACCCAAAGAAGCTTCTGGTTTCTGGCTATGACCTGGCCCAGCTCTGTCTGTTGTGACCACATAGGGAGTGAACCAACAGCTGGAAGATCTGTCTTTGCCTCTCCCCGTCTGTGTGACTCTTTGAGATAAATACATCTTAAAAAGAAAAAACTAAGAGTATGAATATCCTTGATTATAGAAATAACATCAAGGTGTTGTTGTGTAGTGAGTAGGACCTTTGGTAGCAATTGAAGAGTCCCCAATGCCCCTGTTCAAGTCCCAGCTGCTCCACTTCCCAATCCAGCGACCTGCTGATGCAACCGGGAAAACAGCAGCAGCTGGCCCTTGTGTTTGGGTATATGCAGCCATGTAAGAGACAGAAAAGAGGCTCCTGGCTCCTGGCTTTGGTGTAGTCCAACTCTGATCATTTCAGCCATTTAGAAAATCAACAACATCAAATAAAATAACATATGGGAGAGGAGTCTGTAAATAATGCCTCAAGTTAAGAGTCAGGCTGTAGCGTAAAAGCACAATTTTTATACCCTTGTATCTGTTCCTGGCTTAGTAGTTGCAACTTGGCAAATTTAGTAATAATTCTATAGCAATATTACAGTTGAAGTTGTTGGTTGCCTTTGTTACAGTTTTTTATGCTAGGCTACAGAAAAAGTATATCCTTTGTGCCTTTGGGGTTTTGTTTGTTTGTTTGTTTAAGATGTATTAATTTTATTGTAAAGGCAGATCAGATTTAGAGAAGGAGTGACAAAGAGAAACATCTTTCATCCGATGGTTTTTACTCACTAGATGGCCACAAAGACCAAAGCTGAGCCAGTCAAGCTGGGAGCTAGATCACCCATGTGGGTGCAGGGACACAAGGCTTTGGGCCGTCCTCTGCTGCTTTCCCAGGCCACAAGCAGGGAGCTGCATGGGAAATAAAGCAGCTGGGACATGAATGACACCCATATGGGATCCCAGCACTTGACAGGGAAGGTTAGCCATTGAGCCTTTGAGCCATTGGGCCCCAGCCTTTGAGTCTTTACATTTGTTCTAGTGCCAAATTATTATTTGCTCAAAAATGAAAAACATTTAGGCACTTTGAAATTTTCTTTCTTGGTAGTAAGCTGTAGTTACTCAAAGCATTATAAGTGAAAAAGTCTTCAAAGGCATTGCTTTTGCTTCTGTTTAATTGCTTTGCTGGGAATTAAACCTCACGTACATGTTGAGAGAATAAAGTGAGTTGATAGCTTGTTTTACTATCAGTATTGTACTGATCTTAAAAGACAAAATTGTTCAGTGTGTTTGTCTCATAAAATACCTAGTACAGAATTTGAAATTACTTGGAACTTTACTGAAGGCACTGAATGTTCATATTTATTGCCTTTTTAAAAGTAGATAAATACCACTCATTTTTTAAAAAGCATGTTCAGTAAGCATAAAGAAGCTTAAAATCATTATTTTGAAGAACTAATAAATAATTTTAGCTTTTCTAAAGTGTGCATGTTCTTCTTATAGGCAAACGGAGGTTTAATATTAAATTGTGGAAGACCTTTACTGATTGTTTCAACTGTCTGCCTATAGCTGCCATTGTGGATGAGAAGATCTTCTGTTGTCATGGAGGTAGACATTTCACTTATGAATTTGTCTTATTTGCTGTTCAGAAAAGAACTATAATAAGGTGGTATGGGGAAACAGCAGTGCTTGTATGAAAACTCAAGTGATTAAAATTTTTACTATTGGTAAAAATACTAAAATGAGAAAACATTAGCTTTCTGCATATAAGAAAACCTTTCATCTGAATCCCAGTGTAATTGATGTGGATCCTAACGTGTATCAGGAGTTGTAAGCTTCATGTACTATGTCTCGTGCATTCCTAAAAGCAGGTTAAATTGCCCTGTATGATTTGTGGGAAAAAAAGAAAGAAAAATCAGAAAAAGACTTGGGACAAATGTTGATGGAGGCACAGGTTTTAGGGAAAGGTAGACTTGGAGAGGTGAAAAGCACAGTCATTGTTGTCAAGTTTTAGGAATGTGCAAGGACTGACCTGTCTAGAGTGGCACATACCTGTTAAGGTATTGTGGGCTGATGTTATAAAGATTTGAGTACTGAACAAAGCACTTTGTTGACTGTTTTAATAATGGCATTGAAATACTGGGAAGCATTTTTTGTAATGGAAGTAGTATAAGAAAATTAGGGTTTTTTAAATCAACATACAGGAAGAATTAAAGTGGAGAAACACTGAAAAGATGGATACAGTTACCTGCATCTACACTGATAAGTGGTTTCTTTTCTGACAACATAATTATAATGGAAGCATGTTTTTTAGTGTATATTAAACATGAGAGCAATTAGTTGTTATGTAGTATAGCTAAGAACAGAAATGCAGCATTGTGGAATGAATGTTTCGCTCCATTCCTTGTCACAGTAGATTGCCTGCCAAAGGCTTATATTTTATGTAAACAGACAAGCTTATATTTTATGTACTATTTTGAAATTGTGAAGTATTTTTATGTGTTTTCTTTTTTATCGTTCTGGTTAGTAATTTGTAATTTCAAGAAGATAGTGAACCAATTGAAGGAAGGTGAGACTATCCAAGGGTCCAATTGTAGCATTTGGAATTGAATGTATAAGTTTTTGGATTAGGTGGTGAGATGACTTGGTTGGCAGGTTTGTAGCTGAGAATGTTCCTGTGAAGGGAAGGGAGTGGTTGCAAAGAATGCTGTGGCTTCCATCCATGGGAAATCTTTTGAAACAAGAACATTTCATTTTCCTGGTAGGGAAAAGTGTAGAGGATGACATAATCATGATGTAGGGAACTTGATAAAAATTCAATATGTTGACCTCTAAGGCAACTTAAAAGGACAACTTTTAAGCATTTTAACCTCACATGGTGAGTCTGCATTAGCTATAGTGATTTCACATCGTATAAGTCAGACTGAGCTGTACTTTTCATCCCCAGGACTGTCACCAGATCTACAGTCGATGGAACAGATCCGGAGAATCATGAGACCCACTGATGTCCCAGATACAGGTAGGTCTAGAGAAAAGTTTAATTTTTGTCTGTTACTATATTTGAGCCTAATTATATTTAATGGAAGTGGGATTGATTCATGTAATATGTAACAGTCTAGTACTGAGTAAGGTAGCTCTACTACTTTATTTGCAGTAATGTGTGTCACTTTGTTTCTCAGCAAAAAATAGTTACCCTCTATTGAATTAGCTGGTAGTTCTCTATTATTTTCAGCATTTGTCTTTAGAGAGCTCGTAAGATTCTAGAATGTGGCTAATTTTATGAAATTGCACAAAATATGCGAAAAATTTGAAAATTGGCTTTCATACAGTCAGAACAACTCTATCAGAATAAAAATGAAGACAAACCAGAAGGTAGTAAGTTCTGGTTGAAGGTAAAATGTGAGTTTATACACGAATACTAATGTAATTGTCTTTTACCCTGATTTTTGTATGGGATTGGAAATGTTACTGCTTAGGGGAGGGCGACATCGGTGTAGCTGTTAGGATGTGCCTTGGGACACCTGCATCTTGTATCAGAGCGCTTGGCTTAAGTTCCAGGTCCTTTACTTCTGATCCAGCTTCACACGAATGTGCGCCCTAAGGACAACAATAGAGTTAATTGGAGCTCTTGGGCCCCTGCCACCTGTGTGGGAGCCCCTCATTGCATTCCGGGGTCCTCGCTTCAGGCCTGGCTCAGCCCTGACTGCTAACAGGCATTTATGGCGTGAGATCTGTGTCTGTCTTTCCAACAGAGAAAATAAATTTTTTATGAATATAGTTCTTCATGTTTCAGTATTAGTGTATATAGTTAGGTATATAGTCTTGACATCCATAACATAAAATGTCAAGATTTATTTATTTAAGTTGCTCTGCTTCTTTTGTTTGTAGCATCAGTGCCTTTCTGTGTGTTTTGATACCAAATAGTGTAGATTTTCCACACAAGAACCAGATTTTTGACACTAGTGAGGTTCTTCACTGACTCCTAACATTAGCACAGAGCACACAAGACAAAGGACACCATTCCATAAGACTATTAATAAGTGAAATCTGCCCAGTACCTATAAGTGAAGAGGTTCCTTCAGTCTTCTTTGTTGTTGTTGTCTCTTAAAAAGATTTATTTTCTTTTTTTTGCCTGAATGTACAAAAGCAAAAGGAGTACAGTTTGTGTGTGTGTGTATAATATATAAGAAACAAGGAACTTGGTAATGTATACGTTACCGAAGGGAGCAATCAAGAAGACTGAAATTAAATCCAAATAGAGCAACACCAATGGAACAAAAACTATGAACAAAACTGCCCCTCCAGCCTAGGCCTCCAGTTCACCCCATCCTGCTCCCAGTGGGAGGGCTGAGCACCAAGATGAGTGGGTAGGCTGGGGCAGGAGGGAGTGAGGACAGGGCCTGGGAGGGGCTTGATCCCAGGGGTCCACAGCAGGGGGTCATTGGAAAGCTTGCTGGGATGTCCTGGTAACAAAACAAATTATACAGCCCCAGAATTAGAGTGCCAGCTAACTGCCCAGTTAAATCTTTGGGGGCATCAGATTAGGTGTGTGGGTTAGTAAGTGGCATGGGTGGCCTCAGAGCCCATGTATAAGAATTCTCTAGCCCTTCTGCAATCTTACCGCCTAACTCCCTAGATAAGTCCTCCCTCCTCCTTACTCTGGAGCCTGGAGAGAAGCAACTGAAGAAATCACAATTGGATTTCACAGGGTCACCTCTTACCCTTTTCTTTGGTTCTTTTGACCTTGAGGTGTATGGAGAGAAGAGTGGAGGGCTATTTCATACCTATACATTGACATGTGTGAGGCAGGAGAAGGGGACAAGAGGAGCTGGCTCGTCTTTAGTGAGGGCCAAGTTGCCATGAATCCGGAAGAGTGCCGATCCAGGCCTTGGCTAGCTCACCTGGGGATGAGGTTACTTGTCCTTAGCCACTTCTCCATGGGGAACTGGGGAACAGAAGGTGTGGTTTGGAGGGAGGCTGGATCTGGTGGTCTGCACACTTAGCACAAATCTGCAGAGCCGGTTCATGGGACAGGTAGCCCTGGTTGAATGCTCCATGACTCTGGTGACTGGGTAGGGTCTAGGGTGCCACAAAGAGTCCCTAATGGGGGTCTTCTCCCCACAGAGAAGGCCTGGGGAAGTATGACCAATCTCAGAATTTATCTAGGGTCCACAGAGTTGCTGCGATTCCTGGGAAAGGCAGGGACTAGGGGCTGGAAAGTAGTGCCAAATCTGCTGCTGTGGCTTCTGCCTGCTCTATTGCAAGACTTGGAGAGAAGTCTAAGAGCTAATGGTTTTTAAAGGGGGGAAAAAAAAGATAAAAGCTGTTCCCTTCTGCAGAACCCAAGGCTGTGCTGCTAATTCAGAAGTTCCTTTATGTGTTACAGAATGAAACGGAAAGGGCGGGTAGGTGGGACACTGCTGCCCAATGAGAAAGACTATTAACTCCCAGCAGATTCTTTCTTTACAATATGTACAGAACACACCTTAGACCAGTGCCACAGATAATACAAAACACACAGCAATATTTAAAAACAAATGGCAACATAGCTGGGCCCTTGTCTCCACCCTGGAGCAGCCTGGGGAGGGCATTACTAGGCTGAAATTCAGCTACCCTCTTGGCAGGGGGGTGACTCAGGTGAGGTAAGGTGAAGGTGTCCACACCTGCCACTTCCTTTGATGAAAGAAAGTCACTGCTCAGAGCAGTGCCCACTGGGGCGGCAGACGGGCTGGTGGCATGTTGGGGGGAAGGTCTAAAACAATGGGTTGTCTGGGAGGATTCAGAATATGACTCAAAACAAGAACAAGGACACAAGTTAGAGTACAAGTAGGGGCTGTGGGTGAGAGGGGGTCCCCTTGGGGAAAAAACGCCCTTAGGCTTGTCTCCGAGTAGGGTTAGGGGTCTTAGGAGCCACCCTCTCCTGGGCATTGGGCTTACGGTTCCCTGCCACCCCATTCTCCCAGAACGGAGGGGAGTCGAGCTCCTTGTCACCTTAGGCTCTCTGTTCATGAACACACCCTGTAGGCTGCGCTGGGGTCTGTAGTCATTCTTGGTCTGTCTGAATCCAGAAGGGTAAGGACGATAGGAGGGAGGAGAACCAAGGGCCCCTTAGCATTTTTCTTAGGGACTTTACTTACATTTGCTTGCTTGCTACGAAGGATACAACTTGATAATAGCCATGTGAAAGCCATAGACTGAGGAAGGTGTTTGGGAAGGGGAGTTCGTAACCTAGAATTCTGTGCCCTCTCTGAGCGTCACCAGCCTGGAACTTCTGCAAATAACATTCAAGAGGGGTTTTTTTTATTATTATAAATCCATTTTTAGCACCACCATCTATAACAGAGGGACAAAAGGTTGATAATCTCAACCCTTTACTCAGGTGCTTGGTCTTTGTGGTGACTACCTCTGTCTTGGATCCGTCTAGGGCCTCATCCTGAGTTACTTCATTGCTATTACATTCAGTTGTGATAGGAAGGAACCCAGTATGAGTAACAAGGCACTGCTGGCTTTCACTTTCAGGAATTTACTGGAGTTTAGGGAGCTCTGTGCCAGAACAGGGAAGTTACAACAGCCAAATATGTTATTATAGAGCAAACATTCATATTGTGAAAAACATTAACATAAGCAAAACTACCCCTTCATTGTTTCTGCCAAATACTTTATTTATTTATTTAAAGAGGGGACAGCTTTCTGGATAAATTATTATTACTGGTATAATCAATTCCCTGCAAATTTAACATATGTGAACAATGAAAATAGTCTGGAATAACCTTGTCTAGAAGTAATATGGGGGAAAAGGTTGTTAAAGGGAAATGGATTAATTATTCGTTAAACAAGTATTGGGCTTGATAAGTGATTCAGTTCCATTCTTAGGATCCAAAAATTACGTAGATAGATATTGAAGAATGTATATGACCCAGTGTCTGATAAGCAAAACATGACCAAACCTTCAAATTGATCTGTTACTATCCATAGGATTGTTTGCTCTTTTTTTTAAAGCTTCTTGAGAAAGAACATGCACACAGGTGAACAAGCACTTTGAACCGCTGAATCAGACCAAAGCCAGGAGCCTGCCACTCTTGACTGTCTTCCCCGTGGGTGGCAGGGGCCAGCCGCCTCCACTTGCTTTCCCAGCTTCATTAGTAGGGAGCTGGATGGAGGATGAACCAGCCAGAAATAAAAGTGACAGTCAGAGGATGCTGGCATCACCCCCTGTGTCACAATGCCAGCCGTGAGGTTCTTTTCTTACAGTACATTGAATTGCTTTGCTCATTGTACTGAAAACCTGGTGATAGCACTTTGAAGGATGTTCATGACTACATGTTAGCTCTTACCAGTGGTTGTGGAGACCCTCTGATGTTAGCAGTTCAAACCCTACATTGTAGAGAGAAGTTGTGGCAAGTATAAGGAAACAAACATGCACTTTGGCCAGCTTTTTTCACTTAAAAAAAAAAAAAAAGACATTTTCCATCTACTGATTCACTACCCAAATCTCTGCAGCAGCCAGGCTGGGCCAAGCCAACCAAAGTGACAGCTAGAATTCGGTACTGAACTTCCGAATGAGTGAGAACCCAAGTACTTGGGCCATCTGCTGCCTTTCCAGGTGCATCAGCGGGAAGCTAGATTTGAACTGTCACTTCAGTCTGGGTTGCTAACATCCTAAGTAGCAACTTAACCTGCTGCAACAGAACATCCATCCCACCATAACTTTTAATTTTAATTAATGGAATACGTTTGACCAAATGTAATGGAAACTATTACCTCAAACTAACTTATTAAATTTCTTGAGATCAAGTATTTGGGCCTGGTGCAGTAGCCTAGTGGCTAAAGTCCTTGCCCTTGGTTGCGCCATGATCCCATATGGGTGCCAGTTTGTATCCCAGCTGCTCCACTTCTATCCAGCTCCCTGCTTGTGGACTGGGAAAGCAGTGGAGGACAGCTCAAAGCCCTGGGGACCCTGCACCCGCATAAGAGACCCAGAAAGAAACTCCTGGCTTCATATAGGCTCAGTTGCAGGCACTTGGGGAGTGAACCAACGGCTGGAGAATCTTTCTGTCTCTCCTTCTGTAAACCTGACTTTCCATTCAAAATAAATCTCAAAAAAAAAAAAAGATTCAAATGTTTACTCACTCTAATTCTTTAGAGGGAGGCAGAGATCCTTCACCTGCTTCTCACCTGTGTGGCCACAGCGGCCGGAAGTGAGCTGGTGAGCCTGGCGGAGCCAGAATCCAGGGTCTTCCTCAGCTCTCCCACATGGGTGGCAGGGGCCCAGACTTTGCGCCATCTTCTGCTGCCAGTGTTTTTGTTTTGTTTTGACCATTCCTTCACACTTTTTTTTTTCTTCTTTTCCTCATTTCTTTTCCTTGCCTATTAAATGTCTGGATTTTTTTCAGTGTTTGTTTTGTTTTGTTTTGTTTTTAAGGATTATTTGTTTGAAATACTGAGTTAGAGAGAAATCACAAAATGGCTGTGATGGCCTGGGGTTATGCCAGGTTAAAGCTAGAAGCCTAGAACTACTCTGGGTCTCCCACCTGGGTACAGGAGCACAGACACTTGGGCCATCCATCCTGCTTTCCCAGGTGCTTTAGCAGGGAACTGGATCAGAAGTGGAGCCGTAGGAGCACAAACCAGCACCCACATGATGCCTTGCCCTGGCCCAAATTCAGAGTTCACTTGCAGGGCCTCATATTCTGTGCTTCCAAGGTGGCTTGAATTCTAAAATTTGCATTACTTGCTACATAAATATTTCTAGCTCTGACCTCTTATTGTCAAAACATTACTAAAGTCAAACAAAAATCAGTCTAGTTTTGTTCCAGCAGACTTTCTTTTTAAATTCTCCATATGTCTGACTAGAAAAATTTATTTCCTCTGATTTATAATTTAGATGCAATTTCAATGAAATGAATTGTGTTTTTCATGGACTTAGACAAGCTTGTTCTGGACGTCATGTTGAAAAACAAAGGAGTCACAGTAACTGGGGCATCCTGAAAAGAGAACGTGAGAGATGCTGGCTCCTGGGATCTTTTTTATAAGACTCTAGTGAACACTTCTGGGGAGGAGTTGGCTCAGGGGTTAATAAGTCTAATGGGGTAGATTGTGGTGCTCCGCAACAGCATGATTCTGAAGAAAAGATGAACTAGCCATTAAGGAAATGAGAACGAGTGGGTTGTTTATTCACATGGAGAAATCATGCAAAAAGTTGAACAGCCTTGGGCCCGGTGCAGTAGCCTAGTGGCTAAAAACCTCACCTTGCATGCACCGAGATCCCATGAGAGTGCTGATTCTAATCCTGGCAGTCGTTTCCCATCGTGCTTCCTACTTGTGGCCTAAAAAAGCAATAGAGGATGACCCCAAAGTCTTGGGACCCTGCACCCACGTGGAAGACCCAGAGGAGGAAGCTCCTGGCTTCAGATTGGCTCAGTTCCAGCCATTGGGACCACTTGGGGGTGAATCATCCATCGGTAGATCCCCTCTTTATCTCCTCTCTGTGTGTCCAACTTTCCAATGAAAATAAATAAACTCTTAAAAAATGATGAACAGGCTTTCCATATATTGCTTGTGCTCAAGACTGTGCAGTGTACACAGTTCCTATCTATAGAACTGGCTCTGGCTACTTTACTTTCTTAAGAGGCCGTGCAGTGTTAGTGGGTAAGCTACCTAGGGTGAGCTCCTTGGGATCAAGTAGTTACTGTTTATAGGGTAAGAGGGCAGAAGACTTGAAATGAGCTCGTGATGACTCAGTGAGCTAATCCTCTTCCTGCAAGCATAAGGGTCCCATGTGGGCCTGCATTCATGTCCTGGCTGCTCCACTTCTGATGCAGTTCCCTGCCTGTGGCCTGGGAAAGCAGTTGAGGGTGGCCCAAAGCCTTGGGACCCTGCATCCATTTGGGACGACCCGGAAGAAACTCCTGGCTACAGATCGACTCAGCTCTGACTGTTGCAGCTACTGGGAAAGTGAACCATCAGAAAGAAGATCTTTCTGTCTCTTACCCTCTGTGAATCTGCCTTTGCAATAAAAATCTTTAAAAAGGAAATTCTACTTTTCAGATAATGTTTTCTAAAAAAAATGTAAATGTGCTTTATGAGGTGTTTTTGTTGTTGGTTGAGTGTTTGGTTTTTCTCATTGCTGTGTTTTGTTCTTTAAAGGTTTACTCTGTGATTTACTGTGGTCTGACCCAGACAAGGATGTGCAAGGCTGGGGAGAAAATGACCGTGGTGTGTCTTTTACCTTTGGAGCCGATGTAGTCAGTAAATTTCTGAATCGTCATGATTTAGACTTGATTTGTCGAGCGCATCAGGTATGAACTATGAGAATCTTGTATTGTTTAATGTTTCTTAGCATTACACAATCCCTTATTTTGGAGAAATTCAAGCAACTTTTATAAAGAATGCTTTGGGAAAGGCAAAGCCAGTAATTACAGTGTACTGTTATGTATGCTTTGTTAACCTTTCTCATAAGAGGACATGTTTCAAAAGAATACATTTAGTAATATGCAACACTAGCAAAATGTTTCATGTTTTTTTGAAGCTTTCTAGGCTTAGTCAATTTTGTATATGATGTGCGGTGGGTTGCCATCCTGTATTATCAGGCATTGTACAAGAATTGTTTGGAGTTTATGAACAGAGTCCTCAGAGAGCATTGTTAAGGCCATCGGGATTTCACTGTAGACTATAGTGAAAAGCAGAATATCATGCCATTGTTAATCATTCCAGCTGTGGTAAAACCATTATGAATGCATATATGAATGCCCACCATTTCCAAAATTTATCTCAGCATAACTGATAGATGTCAATTAATAGAATTGTTAAAAGTGATTTGACTGCTTTTAAGATTGTATTATGTCTCTGTTGTCTTCAGAGCAAAATTGACTAAATGAAGTGCATGCCGCTGGGCGATGCTTCCCATTTCTCCAGGGCGTTGATCCCTGTGACAGACACTTGACTGGGAGTGAAAATCTCCAGTCTCTCCTTCCCTCTGTAACTCTGACTTATAAATAAATAAAGAAATAACTCTTTTTAAATGAGTGTGAAAGAATGAACAGAAACTAAATTTCAGTCTTAAACAAAAAGATTAATATCCAAAAGGTAATTTCAAGAGAGGCATATTCTCAGCAGTGAGGTAGGGGTGTTGTGTTTTTTTTTTGTTTATTTGTAAAGACTTATAGATAACAGATCCTGAACTGCGTTAGACATTAGCAAAACTATAGAAATACGGTCGAATCCAAGAGCTACCTGGCAGCCTCTTAACAGGAGGTCATATGCACAGAGCAGAATGGGTCTCAGAGCAGAACAAGAGGATAAGAGGAGGTCTGTATCCTAGACCCCCAGAGACCCCCAGAGGCCTCCCACGTGCTCTCCCCACAGAAGCAGTGGATACTTCATCAAGGGTTGTCAGTATGAGCACCAAGGACCATATGCCGACTACCAAGGAGATCACAGGGAATTTGATTGCCCTCATAGGCTGAGGTCAGCCAGTTCCTGTTGGATCTCCCACATGGGATTAAAGTAGCCCAGAACCCTCCTCATAGAGTCTGATGACATTGGACAACAGCCAGGAGCCCTGGGTCATCCTCAGAGATAGAAGAATTGTAAATTTCCTCCTGGACTTAGGAGAGGAGCTTTCTCTGGTCCTTATTTAGTTCCAGCTTTGGCTCCCCATTCTCTCTTGCAGTGACCATCAGAGTCACTCAGGAGCCCCAAAATTAGCTCAGATAGAGAGACTAATATAGAAAGATTTGGACAGACAGGAAAAAGTCAGCTGGCCTATAATTGCTCAGCCTGTACCTTGCTGGTCAGGCCCCCGACTTGGCTTTTCCTAGAACTCACTAGATAGGATGCAGAGTTCAGTTATTCCTCACTAGCTAGGTTATTGAAGATTTCTCTGTGCACCTGCCAAAGACTGTTCTACTCTTCAGTTGTTAATATATGACTTGTTATAATTATGTCTGTTTTGATTATCCTAAAATGCACAAAGTTCTCTAAAATCTTGCTTGAATACAAAAACAGCTAAATATAAATATAATAAAAAAAAAAAGAATTTACATGGTTTTGCATATCTCTTATAACCCTAAGAGATAGAAACATAAGCTGAGAGATACTGATGATTTAAAATTTCTCAGAAATTAGCAATAGTCTAGAAATTGTGAACATTAAGGAAAATAGTTATGTGTACATCTAAAAATGTAGTCTATAAGGGGAATCATCTGTGTAAATTAAACTGATTGGTAATGCTTTCAGTTTGTTGGTATATACCACTGGTAAAAAGTTTAAAAGCAAAGCAAGAAAAAAGTTACTGGCAAAATCTTATATTGTCTGGTTGTTACTCATTAAAGGATTTTAAAGTGGGATTATAATGTTGCCATCGTAGTAGCGTCTCTTGTCCCAGATCCCTGTGATCACTATGTATATTAGTGTATTTCATTTTTTTTCTCATAGGAAGCCTTAAAAATGCTTTTTGGTAATTACAACTTTATTATTCTGTTTAACCTTAATCTCTGCTGTTTTACAGAAAAGGCATGCTAGGTTTAATGATTTAAGTATAAGAGTAAAAATCACAATCTCCAAAAGAAGAAAGTGTTAGGTTTTTGCCGTAAAATCTGTTTATTATAGTTAGTTGAAAATAGTGCTAATGCGCGTTGCGCTCTTCTGACTTCTTTGACAGGTGGTGGAAGACGGATATGAATTTTTTGCTAAGCGGCAGTTGGTAACTCTGTTTTCAGCCCCAAATTACTGTGGCGAGTTTGATAATGCTGGTGGAATGATGAGTGTGGATGAAACCTTGATGTGTTCATTTCAGGTATGATAGAGATCTAAGATTCTAACAATAGAAATTAATTAAAACTAATGTTGGTAGAGTTTTTTCTTTCAGATTTGCTTAAAGTTTAGTTGGGAAGTGATTATCACTCAAACTCATTAAAGATTTTCATTTTTAGAAAGTTTCTAACTTTTCAGTAGATATCAAACATCGCAAGTTGTGGTAAATCTAACATCGGTCAACCTTATCTGAGATGTTCTAATTGCTCACTTCCTACTGTGACTAGTAAGGTAGCAGTTTACTTACTAAAAGAATGAAAGTGGAATGAATAATTTCAGGTTTTCTTTTACAAGTAATTGGATGGGGCAAATATTGGGAGGAGAGAAAATTATCAACTCAGATGAAGAAAAAAGTATTCTTACATAAAGGAAAAAATTTTGCAAATAATTTAAAACACTTATAAAGATAAAATCTTAAGTCTGTTTTGTTTGTTAAAATTGAGAAACAGGAAGAGGCAGGATTCTCATATGCTGGCTCATTCCCTAATTGCCCACCAGTGAATGGCCATGTGGGGACGTGGCTTGGCTGGAGCCAGAACTGAGATTCCATCCAGTCCACGTCTCCCACATGGTGGCAGGAACCCAATCACTGAGCCTTCACTGTTGTTCCCACGGTCTGTGTTGGCAGGAAGCTGTAGTCAGGAGCTGGGCGGGACAGTCCAACCCGGTAATGCGATGTTGCGACCACAGATCTGTGTAGAATCTTGACATTTTAAAAAAGTAATTTTATGTCCTTGATATACGGTGGTCTAGAGTAGACATCAGGTGCCAAACTCTATCCCCCTGCAACTATCAAATGTGCAGAGGCTCCAGTAACATATATTAAAGAGTTTGATGTTCTTGTATAACCTCCACAAATCTTCATGTCATCTCTGGATTGTTTGTAATACTTAACATCTGTAAGTATTGTGTAAATAGCTGAACTACCCTGTTCACAAAATAATCACCAGAAAGGTGGTCTGTATATGTTCAGTGTAACTACAGTTTTTTTTCTGTCAAATATTTTTGAAACCAGAAAGAATCTGAATGCACAAATAACAGAGAAGAGGGAGGCCAACTGTGTTTTTTTTTAAAGATTTATTTTTATTATTTTTTCATTGGAAAGGCGGATATACAGAGAGGAGAGTCAGACAGGAAGATCTTCCGTCCGATGATTCACTCCCCAAGTGAGCGCAATGGCTGATGTTATGCCAGTCTGAAGCCAGGAGCCTCTTCCAGGTCTCCCACGCAGGTGCAGGGTCCCAAAGCTTTGGGCCATCCTCAACTGCTTTCCCAGGCAACAGGCAGGGAGCTGGATGGGAAGTGGGGCTGCCGGGATTAGAACCTGCGCCCATATGGGATCCCGGGGTGTGCAAGGCGAGGACCTTAACCACTGCACCACTGCGCTGGGCCCCAACTGTATTTTTAAAGTGCAGTGGAGAGTTCCCATTTTCATTAACTGGAGCAACTGAGTAGTAAATGCTTTGGGTTTTTTTTTTTTTACATTTTACAGATAGGAATCAGGACTCAACCTTTTGTAGCTGAGATGCTCTGAATAGTGTTCAAGAAATATTTCTTGAATCAACGTTAATGGCTTAGCAGGAAAGCTACCACCTGTGACTGGTATAGTTGAAGCCCTGACTGCTCTATTTCTCATTCAGTTCCCTGCTAATGTACCTAGGAAGGCAGTAGGAAGATGGCCAGAGTACTTAGGCCCAGGCCCTTTCACCTTGATAGGAGACCAGGATGGAGTTCCAAACTGCTAGCATCAGCCAGGGTGTGGGCTGTTTGGGGAGTGAACCAGAGGATGCAAGAACCGCTAGTCTCTATCTCGATCTCTGTCCCTCTGTCTGTCTCTATCTCGATCTCTACCTTTGAAACACAAAGGCATCTTGATTGGTAGTGGGAATAAGATGGTGCTACTGCTTGGGGAACAATTTTGCAGTTCAAATAGTTACATTACCCAGCAATTTTATTTCTAGGAGTAAAATTTGTACTTGATTGTTCGTGGTATAACGTAAGAGCTCCCAAAACTACAAGTGACCCCAGTGCTCATCATCTAAATGTTGAACAAAATGTAGTTTTCTTTTCAATGGAATACTATTTGAAAATAAGAGTAGAAAAATGATGAAATATAACATATTGTATAATACTAATTGTATGAAATATTCAGACTAGCTGGACATTTAGAGACAAAGTAGAATAGTGGTTGCTTATGTAGTTGGAGTGATTATGAAGGTAGAGGGCAGGAATGGAAGATGTTCGGTAAAAGGAAAAAAGCCTTTGAGAGGTATCAAGAATGTGCTGAAATTATAATAGTGATTGTAGAACTCTGAATATACACATTTAAAACTAATTTCCTTACACATTGTAAATAAGTGAATTTTATCATTTGTAATAAAAAATCAATATTTTGTACAAAAAAATAAGGTGTGAAGAGTTTGTGAAATGTTGAAGGTTAATCGCCCTGCCATGTATGAATACGTCAGAATTATAAGAAGAACCTGCATATTTTGTCTCTTAAACTGGTGTTATTTCCTCCCCAGCAATAAATTTGAAAAAATGTTACTTAAATCTAAGGATCGAGTAGTTGAGAGGGTTAGTGTACTCAAGTATTGTTAGCTAAAATATTAATGGAATGACAGTAGTGTTCAGACATGACAACTGTTTGTGGAATTTTGTTTTTCTACATTCTTACCAGCCTTTTCCTCAGTTGGTATGCCACTTAGTGAAAATATGCCCACTCACCATGTCATAGTTTTCTTAAACTTATTGCACTTGGAAGAATAACACTGTTTATTCATAAATTATTTACTTTAAGATATTGAAACCATCTGAAAAGAAAGCTAAATACCAGTATGGTGGACTGAATTCTGGACGCCCTGTCACTCCACCTCGAACAGCGAATCCACCGAAGAAAAGGTGAAGAAGGAATTCTGTAAAGAAACCGTCAGATTTGTTTAAGGACATACTTCATAATATATATATAAGTGTGCACTGTAAAACCATCCAGCCACTTGACACCCTTTATGATGTCACACCTTTAACTTAAGGAGACGGGTAAAGGATCTTCAATTTTTTTCTAATAGAAAGATGTGCTACACTGTATTGTATATTCTGTTATAATATTCAACAAAGTTAAATCCAAATTCGAAATTATCCATTAAAGTTACAGCTTCACGTATCACAATTTTTAAAGTTGAAAAGCATCCCAGTTAAACTAGATGTGGTAATTAAACCAGATGAAAGCATGATGATCCATCTGTGTAATGTGGTTTTAGTGTTGCTTGGTTGTTTAATTATTTGGGGGTTGTTTTGTTTTGTTTGTTTTTGCTAGAATAATGGCAATTAAAAAATTTTTCCCTAAACATTTTTAAAAAGTGAAATATGGAAGAGCTTTAAAGACATTCACCAACTGTTACTTTCTTTTGCTTATCTACTTACATACTGTTTGATCTTAAGAGAATTTATTCCTTATTACATTAAAAAGGAATTTTAGAAATTGATAGCTTTTTAAAAGTATGCAGACTGTCCAGTTCATTGATTTTAATGAAACAGTTTAGGCAAACTTTACAGCTGATAGTGAATATTTTGCTTTATACAGAAATGGCCACTAATTTGGATTTGTGCACTCTAATTTTTAACTTATTGATGCTCTATTGTGCAGTAGCATTTCATTTAACTTTAAGGTAAGGCTCATATAGTATTACCCAACTAGTTGGTAATGTGATTATGTGGTACCTTGGCTTTAGGTTTTAATTCGCACGAAACACATTTTGGCATGCTTAACTTTTTGGTATCACCCTCACCTGCATTGGTTTTGTTTTTTTTGGGGGGGGGGGATTTTTGCTTTGTTGTTGTTGCTGGGTTTTGTTTTTAGATCCACAGAACAAGAGAATCCTTTTTTGACAAGCCTTGGAGAGCTGACACTGTCTCTTTTTTCCTCCCCTTATCCGAAGGATGTGCTTAGTTGAATGCTGGTCAGTGGGACATTCTGTCAACTATGGGTATTGGGTGCTTAACTGTCTAATATTGCCATGTGAATGTTGTATACGATTGTAAGGCTTATGTCACTAAAGATTTTTATTCTGATTTTTCATAATCAAAGTTCATATGATATTGTATAGATAATGCTTTGTAGTGAACTATAGTAGCAATAATTTCTGTATGTGATCAAGAGTTTATTGCAGCATTTTTTTTCCTGTTCTTTCTTTTTTTAAGGGTTAGCGTTAACAAGGCAAGGAGTAGAAAAGTCACCATAAAGATTTTAGAAGGAGAACGTACAGAACACAGATTTGTGATTGTTTGGATGTGATGCTAAAAGCTTTTACTGAGCATTGTCAAATTTGTAAGCTTCATAGGGATGGACATCACATTTATAATGCCCTTCTATACGTGCTACCATAGACGTGAAATTCTTGACCTCAGTATTGTCTTTGAAAATGTTAAATTGAAAATTCTGTTGACTTACAGTTTATGAATTGGCACATTGTATTACTGCAAGAAATATTTTTCAGCACAGTGCAAAGGTTCCTTAAACTGCATATGTCTTTTTTCTTTTCTAATTCCATTTTGTTTTAAAGCACATTTTAAATGTAGTTTTCTCATTTAGTAAAAGTTGTCTAATTGATATGAAGCCTGACTGGTTGTTTTATTCATTTTTTCTTGATAAGAACACATTTAAACACATGTCTTACTCAAATCAGTACTGTGTTTCTCACATACATTGAATCAATTTCTGAAGATATTAATTGCTTATGGTATGATAGGTTAGTACCCACAAACCTTTATCAGTGGTGACTTAAATAACTTACTGTTTTAAATATAAGCTGAGCAGTTACCAACAGAATTGTAGGTAGGTTGTTTTAGAAGTCATCTTGAAGCCCATGGTGGGGAAAGGATAGTGTGTATTTATCTCAATTTAAACTACAATAATTTGGGACCTGCTGACTTTTTGTAGAAGTTCATCCAGATAAAAACTAAATATGAAAATTTCACTGCTTAGGCAAATTAATGTTTTTATCATTTAAAAATGAAAATTTACAATACTTTAAAAATATGCAAGAGCTGTATAAACCATTTTTAAAGCTCTTCATATGCAGATAATGTGCTCATTAAAATTATGTATGATGATTATTTATTGTTGCTAACATTCCCTGCTTCTGCTTTACCCAACAGCAGGTTTTTTGTTTGCTCTTGCTTGGTTTTGTTTTTGTGAAGTTTGAGAGGAGAGACAGCAAGCGCACCATCCTTTAGTTCCCACCCCACACCTGCAACATCTGGGATTAGTCCAAGGCCAGGCTGGGAGCCAGAAACACAGTTCACATCTGCTATGTCTTGGTAGGACTCTTACCTCCTGGAGCCTTGATTTGCATTGGCAGGAAGTTAGCAGAGAACCTGCTAGCATAAACCTGCTCACCCATAAGGACACATTTTAATCATCGGTACAGGACTGGTTTGTGCAAAATGTTGAATCATCAGGAACTTAGAACCTAACCAAATACTCTGTACACATTACAGTCAACCTTCACTGTGAAGAGGGCCTAAGTATTCCCGAAGTTAGTTATTTACACTGAAAAATGCTATCAAAATACTTTGAATGCAACCCTTTTTGTGCATGAAAAAACAGAAACTTGGAGGAAACATTAAAAAAGAAAACCCTAATTTGATATTGTGAGTCCCATACTGCAGTCAGACAAGTCATGTGACAGAGCAATATCAGTATCTAAGGTCTTTGTTAATTCTGAGATGCTCTGCCAGAAAGAGTTGTTCAGTTATAATTGGGCTCAAACTCCCTCCACACTCAAAAGTATTCAGATGGTGGCTGCCTTACTGTGTTCCACTTAAAATTTCTCAGCATTGCAATGGTTCCAAAACTGTGTATTCAGTAAACACCATACATCTGATTTTGAATATTACTGCTTTTCCGAGAATGGTTCTTGGTTGCTGGCACACAATGCTGATAGTCAACCAAATGGTCATGAGGGGAAATTACTGAATATCTGCACTGTACTGTGTTACACACCTGGATAGTCAATAGCATAGGTGTATTTTAAGTACATTTTCAGTTTATGCTATTTTCACCTTTTGTGTGGGGTTGTTGGGGGCTGTAACCCCATCCCAAGTTGAAGACTATATTTTTGAAACAAAGAGACAAATCTCAGATGGTCATAACAACCAACCTTTCAACCAGTCACAGGCTGCAGTCTGCCAGAACATGGCCATGAAAGGTAAACAGTGAGCCCATCAGGCCACTGCCATTTGCGAGCGATGAATCCTGCCTGATGACCTTACTGAGAGGAGCTCTCTGAACTTCTGGTTCAGGCTACTGCCTGATTCATGAGCCATTTCCTTGCCTGAATTATCTCAGCTATTTTAAAAAATGGAGAACTTGAAATATCAGTTTGTTCAGAGTATAGTACTGTATACTAAACACCTACTTTATACTATTCTTGGATAAAAATTAAGCTTTTTCCTCTAGCTCTTGGTAAGGGTTCCTGAGTAGGTGGATGTGGAGTTACCTAAGAAAATTGATCTGGTTTAACTCTGGGAATCACTCAGTTATCAAATTAAAAATAAGCAATTTGCCTTATTACCTTAGGAAATCTTCTCATTATGACTAGAATGTGAACTCATTGGGCACCAGTGGTGTGTTTTCCCCCCTCTTATTCACTGATACCTCATTCATGGAGCCTGACACAAAGTAGGCGTAGAAATGTCTGTTTAATGAATGGCAATCAAGTTTCAAAAATGACTACCTAGGTTACTGTTTTGATGACTCAGCCTTCTGAAGACATGCCACAAATGATACGGTTCAAGTTTGCATTCATCCTTACGTAATGCTGTTGTTTCCTACAAGAATACTGGCGTAATCGCCAGAGAAATCCGGTTTGAGTCTCTCCTGACAAAAGTAAATGGTTCATTGTCAAGCTGTGGTCTTTGTAAGAAGTTAAAGTGTAAAAGTTATTTGAAGGAACGTTTTGTAACTAATACCTGACAGGCATTTTGAAATTATTCAAAATGTTCCAAGATACTTATTTGTGATTATTTGTCGCTTCCTGCTAGGTTTAGTAGTAGTCGTCGTCGTCGTCGTCATCGTCTTAAAGTCACCTTTGCAGTGAGTCAATTCACATACGTTTAGGAGCGTGGTACAATTTGTATACTATTTTGTCTTTCAGAGTTCACTTCATCATAGAATACTTGTAAACATTTAAAATCAAGAATCAGAACTTGAAAATGGAGAGTGCTTTATTTAACAAACGGGTTTTGTCATTGGCAAAAGCAAGTATGGGAAAAGAACAAATTACTTTCAGTAAGGAGTAAAGTGGTACAGTGAGGAAACTTAATTTTGACAAAAATTTACTTGTTAGATTGAATATTCCTGATTCTTCCTGGTGCTTCTGTCTTCATTTCAAAGAGCAGTCAACCAGGCTGAAGGTTTTTTATGCCAATGTAATACTCCAGTGATTCAGTCAGCCCTACATGGACCAAAGGCCCTTATGACGTCCAGCAAGTGGATTATGTGGACGTAGTTGCTGTTTGTGCCCACCCAAGTTGGTCTGGAAGATTGGGTAAAATACTTCCTAGGAAGGGGTTGCTAAAAACAAAATCCAAAGGTGTCCTCTAAGACATGCTTTGTAAAATAAGTCTCAGACATCAGGAAATATTAAATAAGTAGACTGAGAACTATTAACATTAATAAAAAATATTTGAAAATGAATGTAATGTTGTGAACTTTTAAAGTTGAACAAATGTATACTATAACCCATCTGTCTCACTTTTGAGCATTTATAGGAAAACTCCATGTGGTCACTGCATTGTGGGGGCATATACAGGCAGTAGTAGTGTGTGTTTATGGGCATTGACCAATCAGAATAAATCAGAACCTGTACTAGCTATAAACAGTGAGTAGGGCATTGCAGCTTATGACCAGGTGTGTCTGAAAGACTTGCTGGGGACCTGCAGTTCTGCCCTGTCTTCCAGAGCTGCTCCTTGGACCAGGGACCCCATTCAAGCTGGGTAAGTACCTGCTGCTAAGCCTAGCCTTCTGTTGGGCTCCCTGCACGCTGTGATCCAGTGCTCTTGAAGTCAGTGCCAGTAGGATTAGCAAGAGAAGGGAAAGCTGCTGGGTAAGCCAATGGAGATTCCTGGGGGATTCCTGTGAAGCGATAGGTTCCAGGAAAGAGGCGAGCACCTCTTCATCGCTGCGGGCGTTTCCCCCTTCCTCAGACTCTGATTTGTTTCCCTCTTGCCCTCAATCATGATTTATCATGTAGCAAAATCCTCCTCACCCTTTTCTCATGTCTCATCCACCAAGTGTTTGCTGTTAAGAGGTGCTGATTACACAAGCTCAGTGGTTTCCTTCTGCTGGGCTGATCAGGGAACAACAGCTCCAGCTCGACTCTATTCACGGAACTCTAGAGTGGGAAAAGCCCTGCCACCACCAGAGCCAGGAACCAGGAACGTCCTCTGGGTCTCCCACGTGGGTGCAGGGTCCCAAGGATTTGGGCCATCCTCGACTGCTTTCCCAGGTCACAAGCAGGGAGCTGGATGGGAAGCGGAGCTGCCAGGACACGAACCAGTGCCCATATGGGATCCCAGTGCATGCAAGGTGAGGACTCTAAGTTATCATGCCAGGTATCCCAATTTATTTTTGAAGAGTAGTTGCAATTGAAGAACCTGGAAACCATACACCGAAGTGATTTAAATGTGTCCCCATCCACTCTGGAATAGTATGCAGTCGTTAAAGAGCAACTCAAGTCCTTGCCTTGAATGCGCTGGGATCCCATATGGACGCCAGTTCTAATCCCAGCAGCCCTTCTTCCCACCCAGCTCCCTGTCTGTGGCCTGGGAAAGCAGTCGAGGACAACCCAAGGCCTTGGGACCCTGCACCCACGTGGGAGACCTGGAAAGAGCTCCTGACTCCGGATTGGCTTAGATCCAGCTGTTCCGGCCACTTGGGCACCATCGACAGAAGATCTTCCTGTCTTTCCTCCTCTCTGTATATCTGCCTTTCCAATAAAAATAATTTTTTTAAAAATGGTTACAGGGACCAACATTGTGGCTCCGTTCGTTAAGCCACCTGCCTGCATTGCCAGCTTCCTACATCAACAGTTTGATCTCCCAGCTGCTCTGCTCCTAATCCAGCCCCCTGCTACTGCAGCTGGGAAAGCAGCGAAGGAAGGTCCTAGTGCTTGAGTCCCCGCCAGCCTGGTGGGAGACCTGGACGTGGGGGCTTGGAAGCATTTGAGGAGTGGCCCAGCATATAAAAGATCTGTTTTCCCCTTTAACCTTGCCTTTCAGATATCTTCATTAAAAAAAAAAAAAGGTTAAGACTGTAGCCCCAGGTTAACGAAAGTCACACATCAGGTAGAAGGAATATGAAGAGGAAAGGATATCAAGATAACGAAACCTATACAAAATCCTTAGTAATGCCACCAGCACTGAGGAGGCACCTGGCCAAGAGCTAGGATGAAACCACGAAGCAGCCGGCTGCAGACTGCATCCCACAGCAGGCATAACCAAACGGAAGCTCCCACAGACGCCACGGCGTTCAGTATTTGCCCTCGGCGGCTTCACGGACGGCACAACCACTGCCGCCAAGGCCGGTTCCCAGTCCCCTGCCTAGGTCACGGTCCCTGGCCGGCGCGGTGCCATGAGCTGCCCGGTTCGCAGTCTCACCGGAGGGGAAAAAACAGCGACTCCACGAAAGCCTGAGGGTGCTTCGTGTCCGAGGGAAAGAAGTCAACTGAACTAGCTCGTGGCGGTTGGGCCGATTCTTGGGCTGCAGACTTACAAGCAGGGGACCTGTGAGACCCCACACGGCCGGGGCGGAGTCGGCGGGCCCGGAAGCCCCGCCTCCAGAGGCCGGCTCCACGCGCTGATTGGCCTCGCGGCCTGAGCGCGAGAGCGTCACGCAGGGGTGTGGCGGGCGAGGCTCCCGCGAGCAACCGTCCTCCGCTAGGAGCGCTGTGGCGGAGGCTGACGGCCGTCGGCCGCTCTCGCGGGCCCGGGCGTTCCAAGGTACCTTCGCCGGCAGCTGGTGTCGAGACTCGAAGGCAGACCTAATCTCCAGTTAGGCTGCCGCCTGGTCCCTCCGCCCGCGCAGGATGCCGACCCCGCCGTCCACCAGTGTGAGCCGGTGGCGGCGTCTCTTCCCCGACAGCCTCGGTCCCGCGCTTCCCTAGTCCTCCCCAACTCCCTCAGGTGCCTTCGCGGCCCCTGGTGGGCCGGCTATGGGGTAACGTGGAAGAGGTCGTGGCCGCGGCCGGCCAGGACTGTCGGGGAGGGGCACGGGTCCTGAGAGAGTCCCGGCGTCCCGCGAGTCGCCACGCCGGCGTCTTGGACATGCTAGTCAGGAGGCGCGAGCGGCCTCCCCTCGCTGCCGGTCCTCAGCCCCCAGGCTCTAGGAACCCCCCGACCCTCCCGGGCCCTGCCCCCCAGGGGGGCAAGCTGGTAGGGGCGCTGGTCGCAGCAGCCGCGGAACCCGGGACGCAGTCCTATGCTCGTGGCTCGCACGTCGAGTGTCGTCCAGAGGGACGAGGCTGGCTCTCCCGCATCCAGACCCTTCCCTCCCTGCGCCTGTGTGGCCGAGCCTTTAGACCTGTGCTACGGAGTACCCAGGTGGTTTTGTTTCCCCCGATGACCCTTCCAAATACGTGTTTCTGATAATAACAAATAATAATAAACGGCCTGGTAGGTCGTTTGTATCGGGTACTTACGGGGGCGGGAGAAGCTGATTGCGAAGAAGCCAAGACTATCTATCCATGTGTCAATGGCGTGGGGACAAGCAAGACTCGGCAGCTTTTCCCTCGGGCTCAGTTCTCTACTAATTTATCCAGAATTCTTAGTTTGCTCTGGCCCTTTGGCTTTAGGTGGATATCTTTTCTTTTATTAAAGCCCCTGGGGAGGGGCTTTTGTTTTGTCTTCCCCTCACTGCGGGGAGGGGAGGTGTGGCCCGTGGGTCAGATGGCCACACCCCAGTGGGAGTGGGGGGGCAACGGTGATGATTCTGTTCCCGTCTCCTAGCGTATGATTTGTTCGATTCTGTTGTACAACCGTACGTGTAATTGTGTAAGAACATTGTAGCGCCTAGCATCTGGCTGAGGCCAAAAGCTGCGTATATGAGCACCGGTTGGAATCCTGGCTGCTCCACTCCTGCGCCAGCTCCTGGATATGCACCTGGGAAAGCGCTTGACCCCCTGCCACCCACACGGGAGACCTGGAGTTCCTGGCTCCTAGCTTTCACCTGGCCCAGCTCTGGCTGTTGTAGCCATTTTGATCAGCAAATGTAAATCTCTCTACCTTGCTCTCTAACTCTGCCTTAAAAAGAAAAAAAAAAAAAAAAGGTTTTCAGTTGCCATTATGTGAAATTAAATATTTGGAAAAGATCCGTAGAACCTCAAAACTGTGGAAATCTGATAATAGCCCAAGCAGAGCTTCTAGCAATTTTGCCAGGATACTTTTCCTAAATTTGCTGTGTTTTTAGCAATTAGAACCTACAGGTTAGAAATGCCATAGTCATTTCAACTAGGATTTGTTCTTTTAGTAATTATTTCTATATTGGGGCCTATTTATGTCTACCATCCATAGAAATAATTGATCACAAAAATAGTACTACTTGTACTAATTATGTGTATGAATCATCACCAAAAAAGGTAATTTTTGGAAAGATTTCTGTATTTTTATTGGGAAGACAGATTTATAGACAGAATGATCTTCTATCCTCTGGTTCACTTCCCCAAATGGCCCCAATGGCCAGAGCTGAGCCAATCCAAAACCAGGAGCCAGGGACCTTTTTCTGAGTCTGCCCTGTGGTGTAGGTTCCCAAGGCCTTGGGCCATCCTCCACTGCTTTCTCAGGCCACAGGCAGGGAGCTGGATGGGAAATGGAGCAACCAGAACATGAATCAGCACCTATAGGATCCCGGTGCATGCAAGGGGCAAGATTCAGCCACTGAGCCATCTTGCCAGGTCCCAAACAAAGTAGTTATTAGGCATGTTAAACACTAATGGTTTAACTTAATTCAGATTATAATACTGTATATTCACACACACTTACAATGAGTCACTCCAATAGCATAGACATACATTCACAACTTTTAAAAATTAGAGATACTAATTTATAAAAATCCTTCCTTATGTTCCAATATCTGGTTACTGAAGAAATTAATTTTATGATATGTCAAGGAGTTTACTAATGCAAAGGTCTGTGGAGTGTTTGTATAAGAGATGATTTTCATTTCACTTTTTAAAAAAGATTTTATTTCTTTGAGGTACAGAGTTACAGAGCTATAGGGGTAGCAACGGAGAGGCCTTCCATCTACTGGTGCACTCCCCAAATCGTTACAGTCGTCAGGGCTGGGGCAGTCATGAGCCAGGAGCGCCTTCCCAGCTTTCCATGTGGGTTCAGGGGCCTGAGCCCTCGGACCATCTGTTGCTGGTCTGCCAAGTGCATTAACAGCCAGGAGTCAAACCAGGACCCTTATGGGATGCTGGCACTGCAGAGGGAAACTTAACGCACTATGCCACAACACCAGTCCCAAGATTGCTTTTTAATATAGTACTGATACTGACAATAATTTAACTCTGGATATAGTTTTCCTTGTCTTATAAAAGTTATAAAAAAAAACAGCCATGTTATAAAAGTCATGTCAAATTAAAATAAAAATTTATCAGGAAAGAATATGATAAATGGTATACTCAATATAATTTCTGAAATTAACTTTCACATTTAGTTTAGGATTTCATAATAGCCATGGAACAATAGAGTATATTCTCATTATTTGAGATGAGAAAAATGTAAAGGCAGAATAGCTTTTTTAGCAACGCATTCTAAAAGCCATTTCTAATGGAGTCTGTCACAAATAACATCTGTAATAGCAAATTCAGTAACAGTTCATACGACTGGGGGCTTCACCCACATGGTTGTTTCTGTGAAGAAATGAATTAATGTGATAAGTAATTGTATGTTTTGTTTTTACAGGACTCTTGGGAAACCAAAATGAGACACAATCAAATGAATTGTGAGACGCCACCTACTGTCACTGTCCACGTAAAACCAGGGCCAAATAGAGCACATCAGCCTAAAAAAGGCATTAATCTGAAGCGTCCTATGTTAAAAGATAGTTGGCAAGCTTCTGAAAAAAATGCACATAATAACAACAAATCTAAACGTCCCAAAGGACCTTGCCTAGTGATACAGCGTCAGGAAATGACTGCTTTCTTTAAATTATTTGGTACGTTTAAAGTATTATAAATGTGGAATTATAAAGTACTTAGAATACATTTGTATACATATATTTTGGCATTTTCATAAAAAAGAGCATGCTGTTTTCTGTCAGATTTTCTATCTACATTGAATAATTTTCATTTTACTTAGTTTTTTTTTAATTGGAGTTACTTTGTTTTTTTCTTGTTAAAAGTGAACTCATCTAGTGATTAAACAAATATGTATTTCCAGGACTTTCATTGCTAAAGCCGATATTGGAAAGTTGGTCATCTGGAGAAGTTTCAGTGTTACATTTTGGCAATGTTTTAAAAATTAACTATGCTTTGTCAGCATGTTCGTGTAATGAAATTGAACTTGTTCGTACCATGAAGCATTGGTACTTTGTTGATACGTTTCTTAATAGTTAAACAAAAATAAACTTCTGCATACTACTTCTATCAAAAAGGGAAGGTATTTTACTTGGAGGAATGGAGTGGGAAGAGAAAAATAGGTTGGTGAGATAGATAAATATCCCTGGGAATAAACCAGGTCAAGTGGGTAATGCAGTTTGGTGACCTAGATCACAGGCGTCCTTGTTTATAGGAAGGCCAGGTGAAAAACGAAAGATGAGGTTTAAAAAAAAAAAGTAAAAGCAAAATGTCCTCCATCATTAAGATCTGGAGTGTTTGTTTCCCTTTATTAAATATAGGACAGAATTATTTTCCACAAAATCTGAGTACTGGTCATGAGAGAACACCTGATTCTCCCATTTTAGATAATTGTAAAAATAACGTTAATAAAAATAAATTGATTGTTCTCAGGAAATTAGTAGTTATTCTCACAAGTTTCCATGTATTTTTTTACATTTATGGTATTCCTAGCATGTACAAATTACATAAAAGGAAGAAATGGAAAAAAGTATTTTCTTGGATTATACTCTGACAACTGTCAGTGTATCTTGAGATTGTTTAGCCTTTAAAAATCAGATCAATTCATTTTAGGATTTTTTAAACATTATTTTTATTTGAAAGGGAGATTTTACAGTGAGAGGAGAAACAGAGAGGTCTTCAGTTCATTGGTTCACTCACCAAATGGCCAGAATGGCCAGAGCTGAGCCAGTCCAAAGCCAGGAGCCAGGAGCTGTTCTGGGCCTGCCATATGAGTGCGGGGGCCTGAGAACTCGGCCGTCCTCTGCTGCTTTGCTAAGCCACAAGCAGGGAGCTAGATCAACTGTGGAACACCTGAGACACGAGCCAGCACTGAAGGGATGCCAGTACTGCAGGCAGAGTTAGCCCGCGTGCCACCGCACCAGCCCCTCAAATGTATGGCTAATATTTTTGCTGGTGGTTTTGTTCTTCTAATACTTATTTTTCTCCAAAATTAAATGTTACTTTAAATGATTTTATGTAGATATTTTCATATATATTTTAATTGCAGATAAAATAAACAGGACAGAATAATACAAAACAAAAAATGCCTTGAAATCTAAGGATAAAGTTAATAGAGAAATGTATTGAGAGACATTTTCAAACATACTAAGAAAACCAAAAGTCACGGTTTCTTAAAAAACTGATTATTTTCTCCATTTCGATTGATTTGGAAAAGAAGAACTAAGGTTACCTAACATGTTTCTCAAAATGTGATTAGATTTTTAATAATGCAAGCACTTCAATCACCCCCCTCCAACACAAGCTATTTTAAGTCAAATAAAATGGGTTTTTATACAGTTTTTGCAATGATAAAGATATCTAACAACTGAAAATTTAAGCAGTGTTAATGGGTCAGCCACTTCTGTTTGCTTTCTTTTTTTATTATTTTTAAAATATATATTTTTTAATTAATTACATTGCATTATGTGACACAGTTTCATAGGCTCTGGGAATCCCCCAACCCTTGCCTGTACCCTCCCCCCATGGTGGATTCCTCCACCTTGTTGCTGTATTACATTTCAAATTCAGTCAAGATTCTTTCATTGCAAGAGTATACCAAGCATAGAGTCCAGCATCTTATTGTCCAGGTAAATTCAACAGTTTCTTGGGTTCTGTTTGCTTTCTAAGCATCATTTATAACCTCCTGATATAGTAGTTCTTCAAAAGGAAATATTCCATGTTTAAAAGACAAGTCATAGTTTTCTTTTGTTGTAGATGATGATTTAATTCAAGATTTCTTGTGGATGGACTGCTGCTGTAAAATTGCAGACAAGGTAAATGTAATGATAATATGAACTGGCATTTTTATGTGTTACATGATCACTAGAACTTTAATGAGAACCTACAATAATTTTTTGGTTTGTTAATTAAGATTTGGAAAATAGCTAACCTGTAATACTCCTTCATGAATCTTTATACTTTGAGTTTTGGAATTAGCATATAGCATAGATTCAGAAAATATTGCTGATTAAATGACCTTTAGTCCAGATCTGATTGAAGAACCAATAAAGACAAGCCATCTTTTTAAATTTTTTTACTTATCCAAAAATTCTATTTTTTTTTATAATCTTACATAGTTGATTAGAGTACAAAGGGTCAAGGGCTACAGGAAAGTGGGTAAGACCATTGCTTCCACACTGATATCATCATTTTCCCCCCTGAATCTGGGGCCAGGGGAACAATCCATCTTTAATGGCTTTTAAAATATTTATTTAATTTATTTAAAAGGCAGAATGGCAGAGAGGGAGAGATGAGTCTTCCATCTGCTAGTCCATTCCTTCTATGGCAGCTGCAGTCAGGGCTGTGTCAGATGAGCCAGGACCTCCACGTGGGCCTCCTGGCTGGGTGACAGGACCATCTTCCACTGACTTCCCAGGAGCATTAGCAGGGAGTTGGAGCAGAAGCAAAGCACCTGAGACAGGAACTAACACTCTGATATGGAGTGTCAGCTTAAGCAGCTGTACCACAGCGTCAACCCCGACTTAATCCTTTAACCACAACTACTACCTTTCATCAGGCTGTGGAGAAAAAATATTCTAGACTTACTGTACTTAGAAAATCTTCTCTGGGGTACTGGTGCTGTGGTGCAACAGCTTAAGGTGCCACCTCAATGCTGTCCTTCCATATTAGCACCAGTTCCAGTCTCAGCTGCTCCACTTCCTGTCCAGCCCCCTGCTAACAGGCCTAGGAAAGAAGCAGAAAATGGCCCAAGTGCATGGGCCCCTGCATCCATGTGGGGGACCCCGAAAAAGGTCCTGGCTCCTGACTTTGTCGTGGTCAGTCCCTGCTGTTGTGGCTATTTGGGAAGTGACAAAATTGATGGATGGATTGATGGAAGAATTTCTCTCTCTACCTTTCAAGTAAATAACTACCTTTTATTGAGGATTCATTTATTTTTATTGGAAAGCCGGATATACAGAGAAGAGACAGAGAAGAATATCTTCCATCCACTGATGCACTCCCCAAGCAGCTGCAACAGCTGGAGCTGAGCTGATTCGAAGCCAGGAGCCAGGAGCTTCTTCTGGGTCTCCCACATGGGTATAGGGTCCCAAGGCTTTGGGCCGTCCTTAACTGCTTTCCCAGGTCACAAACAGGGAGCTGGATGGGAGGTAGGACACGAACAAGTGCACGTGTGGGATCCCAGTGCATGCAAGACTAGGACTTTAGACTCTAACCTCGGCCCAATAAATCTTTTTAAAATGCTTTTATTTCGTAGTAATTCAGATAAACCCAAATAATCTTATTAAAGCCAAAGTAATTTAAGCTTTACTTTGGAACCAATGTTCCAAGACAGAATGTCTAACTACAGACAGTGGTGTTTCTATGCTTTTAATGATTAGCGACCATTTCTGCTTCAGCAATACCAGTTAGAGCCAACAGTCCTAAAAGAAATTCAGCATAGGTTCACATCACAGTTGTGATCCAACAGAAAAGGAGATAAATGGAAGGTTAGATTTAAGATTCGACACCCACTCAGCTAATATTGATTTGAACATTTATTTAAAGTTTTATTTATTGAAAGGCAAAGTGATGAGAGACAGAGGGGTAGGATAAGATCCTCTCATGGCTAATTCACTCCCCAAAATTTGGCAGTAGCCAGGACAAGACCAAAATCAAGAGCCAGGAACTTCACCTGAGTCTCCCATATGCATAGCAAGATTCCAAGTACTTGGGCCATTATATGCTGCTTACCATGTACATTAGCAGAAAAATGAATTAGATATGGAGGCAGCACTTGATTTCAGCCACTCTCAATATGGGATGTGGGCAACCCAGGCAGCAGCTTGATCCACTGTACCACAACTCCACTCCTGGACTAGCATTGTGGTATAGTGCGTAAAAGCTGCCACCTGTGACACCGGCATTCCATATGGGCACCATTTGAAGACCTGGTCACTCAACTTCCAATTTAGCTCCCTTCTAATGTGCCTGAGAAAGCAGCAGAAGATGGCCCAAGTGCTCTGATGCCTATAGCCACGTGGGCGATCAAGAAGCTCTCGCCTCCTGGCTTTGTCCTGGCCCAGCCCCAGCCGTGGAGCCATCTGGGGAGTGATCCCATGGAGGGGAGATCTTTCTTTCTCTTCTTTCTCTGTGTAAGTCTGACTTTAAAATAAATAAATCTTTGTCTGAAAAAAATCACATTTGGAATATTTTAGACATCAGATTCTGTGGAGTTTTTTTTTTTTCCCCCAGCTTTAAGTGCATTAAATTTGTTGGGCGGAAGAGGGCAGTGTTTGAACAGTGACTAACCAGGACTGTGTTCCAAGGGTCCTTTACTTGGCAGTTACCCTGAAAACTTGGAATTGCTTGAGGGCCATTCTGTGATGATAGGATACACTAACATTAGGATGCTATGACTTTTAAGAAGTTTTTGTGGTACAATTCCATGAGTTCTGGGATTTCCCTTATTCCTTCCCCCATTCCCTCCTGGTATGTACTCTGATGTCAGCTTAGTCATGTGATTTCCTTTTCTTTCATTTTATTTGAAAGGCAGCGTTTCAGGGGTATTCCATTTACTGGTTCATTCCCTAAATGGCCATGACAACCACGACTGGGGCTGGCTCAAGCCAGGAGCCTAGAACTCCATACAGTTTAGCCTGCTGTACCACAGCTCTGGTCCCTAGAAGTCATTCATAAAGACTGCTTTAAAAAGAATATAGATTCTGCAACAAACTAGTAGGGTTCAGAAACAAATATTATATACACATACATACAAAGGGGTGTCAAGCAAATGTGGCAAAATGTAAGTGGTAAATCTCAGTGAAGAAGTATGGTTTTTTCAGTGTCTAAACATTCAAAATCTTAAGCTTGAGAAACTGGTATTTTAATTTAAAAATATTATCTATAATGAAATTTATGAAACTAACAATGGCTGAGAACTATTTAAGTTTAAATGGTATCGTTTTAACTTATTCATGAGAAATGTTAAGGCAATTTTATTTATGAAAGCAAAGCATTAATGTTAATTTCTAACTTTATTCTTACAGTATCTTTTGGCGATGACCTTTGTTTATTTCAAGAGGGCTAAATTTACTATAAATGAACATACCAGAATGAATTTCTTTATTGCTTTGTAAGTATGCTTTCTACTAAGTGATTTTTGCATTAGTTAATTATAATATGTGTGCTTTCTTACTGAAACATAAGCTGCTTAAATCCTTAGTATAGGGCCCGACACCGCAGCTCATACCACTGGATGGAAGATCTTTCTGTCTCTGTAAATCTGTCTTTCCAATAAAAATAAATATATCTTTTTTAAAAAAAATCTTAGTGTAATTTTGAATAGGTCAGCTAAAACTATTCACTTTTTGCTTTAATAGGATATGTTTATTATATACCTAAGTTTTCTTGTTCCTTTTACATTTTTTTGAAGTGCTGCTACATGAATTATCTCAAATTCTGTTCTTACATCTTTTTTTTTAAAAGATTTATTTTCATTACAAAGTCAGATACACAGAGAGGAAGAGAGACAGAGAGGAAGATCTTCCATCCGATGATTCACTCCCCAAGTGAGCGCAACGGCCAGTGCTGTGCCAGTCCGAAGTCAGGAGCCAGGAACTTCCAGGTCTCCCACACAGGTGCAGGGTCCCAAGGCTTTGGGCCGTCCTCGACTGCTTTTCCAGGCCACAGGCAGGGAGGTGGATGGGAAGTGGAGCTGCCAGGATTAGAACCAGTGCCCATATGGGATCCGGGCGTGTGCAAGGCGAGGACTTTAGCTGCTAGGCCACCGCTCCAGGTCCTGTTCTTACATCTTATATATTTTTTAATGCTGAAATACTTTCTTAAAATGTTTAGTTAATAAGTGAAAAAGTAATCATTGTCTCTTTACATTGGCTATCTGTGGAAAATATTCTAGTTATGCTTTTTGTGGAGCATGTCTATAATGTAGAAGTTATTTGTAGTGGATCCCTTTAGTAGCCACTGGCTGTCATGCTGAGACAGTGACAAAGAAATGCTAATTTGTTTTTAGTTCTTCCACAAAAATTCATATCAGTTTTGTGATTTGTTAAATGGTTTCAGTGACATTGTTTTCTGATCTATAAGATTAGTTAAGTTGGAATTAACAACATATTTCCTTTTTTATCCTATACCTGGATATAATGCTGTATGGGAATGTAGCTATAAAAAATATTTGAATTGAATACCATACAGTAGTTGTTGGTCCTTAAAAATAAAATTGTATTCAGTCAACTTAATGCAGAATTGGAAAGTCATTAAAGAAATAGGAGTAGAAGAAGCTGCTTTCCGTGTGCATTAAAGAGGCCCTCACTTGATAATTTCGTGATGGTTACTAAAGTAGAAGAATATATAATAGCATTAACTAATACTTAATATAATGTGAAAGGCACCACGATTTTTTATGTATGTTAATTCATTTAATATTCTATGTGAAATGCATGTTTCTATCTACTTTCTCAATAAGGAAACTGCACTTAGGAAGCGGTGGGACTCGTGTGGAAATTCAGATGTGATTTACCAGTGGCAAAATTTATCCAATAAATGCTAAATTAAGCTGCTGTTTACTTCATTTTTGCCTTTCAAATACATTTTAAACTTAGGTAAAAGATTTTATTTTATACACAAATACAAATATATATAATATATATGTATAATTATATATAATTTTAGGCTTATTTATTTTCACTGAAAAGGCAGATTTACATAGAGAAGGGAAGACAGAAGGATCTTCTATCTGCTGCTTCACTTCACAAATGGACTCCTCTTGGTCTCCTATGTGAGTTCAGGGGCCCAACAACTTGGACCATCCTCCACTGCTTTCCCAGGCCACAAGCAGAGAGCTGGATCAGAAGTGTAGTATCCATGACAGGAACTAGTGTCCATATGGAATGCTGATGCTTGTAAGTGAAGGATAGCCAGTAGAGCTGCTGCATTGGTCCCCAGATTTTTTTTAAAAAGATTTATTTTTATTATTTTTTTTATTGGAAAGGCGGATATACAGAGACGAGAGACAGGAAGATCTTCCGTCCGATGATTCACTCCCTAAGTGAGCGCAACTGCCGATGCTATGCCGATCCGAAGCCAGGAGCCTCTTCCGGGTCTCCCACATGGGTGCAGGGTCCCAAAGCTTTGGGCCGTCCTCGACTGCCTTCCCGGGCCACAGGCAGGGAGCTGGAAGGGAAGCAGGGCTGCTGGGATTAGAACCGGCGCCCATATGGGATCCCGAGCGTGCAAGGCGAGGATCTTAACCACTTGTGCCACCGTGCCGGGCCCTCCCCAGATTTTTAAAATGTAAAATACAACTTCTGTGTATTTCTTAAAAAGATTATGTCTAAATGAGCCTGAAAAATTAACCTAGAATAGATGCACAGTGTGGCTCTGGTATAACACCTTAGTATACTGTAGATTTTCCTTTATCTATACATACATGCATATATGTTCATATATATGTATAGTTTATAATTTGAAAGAGCTAGTAGCACTCTCTCTGTCATCACCTATTCACTTCCCAATTGTCTGTGATGGCCGAGGGTGGGTCACTCCAAAGCCAGGAGCTCAATCCAGGTTCTTCCAGGTGGGTGTCAGGAACCCAATTACTTGAATCATCTCCAGTGCCTTTCAGGATCTGTTTTAGTAAGCAGAAAGGTGTAATCGGGAGCCAGATGTGAATGTCAAACCCATTCCTATATGGGATGTGTGCCACATAATGGCGATCTTGGGCCCAGTGTGGTGGCTCAGTAGCCAGGATCCCTTATGGGCTCCAGTTCATGTCCTGGGTGCTCGACTTCCCATCCAGTTCCCTGGAATTGGCCTGGGAAACCAGTGGAGGATGATCCAAAGCCTTGGGACCCTGTACCCGTGTGAGAGACCTAGAGGAGGCTCCTGACTTTGGATCTGCTCAGATCAGAACTTACATTCATGCAGGACTAGAAACAATGCCTATTCCCACCAGCCAGGCTGTGAACATTTGTAATTCGTGGAGTACTAAGAAGAGCGCTTAGGGTGTGAGTGCCATGGCATACCAGGCTAATCAACAGCTTGTGGCACAAGCATCCCATATGGCACCAGTTCAAGTCCCAGCTGCTCCAGTCTCATCCAGCTACCTGCTTATGGTCCAGAAAAGAAGCAGGGGATGGTCCGAAGCCTTGGGTCCTTTTACTCATGTGGGAGACCTGGAAGAAGCTCCTGGTTCCCAGTTTCAGACCATTTGAGTAGGGAATCAGAGGATGGAAGATCTGTGTGTCTCCTTTCTCTTTAACTCTGCCTTTCAGGTAAAAAGTCTTTAAAAAGAAAAAGAAGAGTCCTAGGAAAGGCTTTGCCTTAGCAGTGGGGAATAATTAGTCCTGGACTAATTATTAGTCCCGGACTAACACTGCGCTACATCCACCTGTCGAAGCATGAAAGGGAGGCCTGAAAGACCAGACCATTTTCAAGTAACTCAACTTGGTTTGGTCTAGAACAACATTCAAGATTTGTATACATTTTTATCTGCATTTCTTTAATTATAAGACTGAACATCTTGAATGTGTTTATCGCCTGGTCAGCTCCTGTGCCTGTCCTTTACCATTCTTGTTTTGGGTTGTTGGTCTTGTTTGTTAGGTACCTGGCTAACACTGTGGAAGAAGATGAGGAGGAGTCCAAGTATGAGATTTTCCCATGGGCTTTAGGGAAAAACTGGAGAAAACTATTCCCTAATTTCCTAAAGTTAAGGGACCAGCTCTGGGACAGAATTGAATATAGGGCTATTGTGAGCAGGCGATGCTGTGAGGAGGTAAGGATTTTTAAATATTCATGTATGTAATCTTTACCTTTTTATCGATTTTTCTTTTTAATGTACATCTAATGTTCTGGAGATTTTCAGGGGGCACATGTAAGGATAGACTTTTAACCTTAGTCATTATCATGAATACAATTGTATGTTATATTGTTTTTTTTTAACTGTATACCACAGTAATTAAAAATTATCATTTCTGCTTTTCAGAGTGGCTTGCTTCTGTAGTAACTATTTTTATTCTAGTGTGTTTCTTCTGTCTAAACAATAATTAATATATTGGAACATGTGTGAATATATCAATCTTATTAGTGATGGTAATATTATTGGAGTTGAATAATAATTTTCACTAAAGTGTGTGAAATTTCAACTTCCTAAAATTGAAAATATCAGCAGTACAGGAAGTAATTAAAATATGTGTAACACTACCTCTTTTTACATAGAATATATTAAGTGAGCATCCTTGATTGCAAATTTTTTTCAAGATAAATTAGCAGAACACTAATAATTCAGTTTCAGCTATTTTTTTATGTTTCTTGATTTTTCATAAAGAAAGCTAATGTTTCAAAGTAAAAAAAATTCTACAATAGAAATCAAGTGAAAAACAGTGTTCACCATAAGCTTTAGTAATAAGTTAGGATTTTTTTTTTGTGGATGTGGGTTAAATAGTGCTCTTATTAAATGAAATTCTGTCTGGTTAAATAACTTAGTCAAATGAGCCAGCTAATGGATTACCATCAACCTGAAGGAAGACTTTAGTGGTATGTTACTGAATGCTGCCTGTAACTAACCTTGTTGATTATATTTGCTACTGAGGTGAAAACATAGCAGATATACCTAATTGTTTATTAAGTTGGGAGAATTATTGTCTGTTGGGCTACTATGAGGATTCAACAGTAACTCTGAAGACTATACAATTGGCCAGTATTGTGCACAGTAGCTTAAACTGCATCTATGACCCCACATGCCCTGTGGGAGCACCTGTTTGAATCCTTGCTATTGCAATCTAACTCCCTGTCAGTGCTCTTGGGAAAGCAGTGGAAGATGGTCCGATGAACCTGGACCCTGCCACCCACCTGGGCAACCTGAAAGATATTCCAGGCCTGGCCCAGACCTGGTTCGCAGTCAGTCAGCAGATGGAAGATCTTTCTCTGTCTCTCCCTCTCTCACTCTGCCTTTCCAATAAATACATTTTAAACAAAAGTCAAAATACTATTTTTTAAAAAAAGATTGAGGGTCTAAATCGTGGCTCAACAAGCTAATGTTTTACCTTCAAGCACCAGCATCCATATGGGTGCTTGTTCTTGTCTGGCTACTGCACTTCCCATCCCGCTCCCTGCTCGTGGTCTGGAAAAGCAGAGGAGGATGGCCCGAAGCGTTGGGCCCCTGCTTCCATGTGGGAGAACTGGCAGAAGCTCCTGGCTTTGGATTGGCTCACCTCCAGCTGCTGCAGCCATTTGGGGAATAAAACAGCAAATGGAAGATTGTTGTCTCCTTCTCTCTGTAAGTTTGCCTGATAAAAATAAATAAATCTTTAAAGAAAAGATACATAATCAACCAAGATTAAATTCAACAGAAAATTATATAAAATTGATTGTATAAGACCACCCCCAAATTCATGGAACTAAACTATTCAAACCAGACTCATTATAATTGCAGGGCATTGAATTGAAGGAATCCTGTAATGAAGATATTTTTGATTATCATTTTCTCAAGTAAGGAGTGGTTAATTTGCACACTTGCTGATGTAATGATGGGCCATATTTAAACACTCTAATTTTTTTTTAAGTAAAGGCCTCAGACTTCACAGGACAATCAGCTAAAAGCATAGATGACACATCAGAAGCAAGAGGGCAGAGTACTGACAGTGGCTTTTCTAATTTCAGATAGCCCATCCATTTTCAAGATGCTTTGGCTAGCATCTTAAATGCAACAACATTAACATATACTATTGGACTTGGACTTACCATGGCTGCCACTAGTAGATTACAAAAGAGCCAGAGAAGTTGAAGTGACTTGATAGCAATGTGACTAGAAGACTAAAACGTTTTAGCAACTATAAACTCAGTTGTGTAATGGGGACCTACAGAAAAGTCCAGACCTAGACTGCAGAGACAAGGTAGCCATCACATGGCACCTACAGTGCCGAATTTACTGCATTCCACTTCAGCAAGCAACTGCATAGCCAGAGGGTGGCAACTCAAACAGAGGAACATCTCAAGACAAAAATGTTATGTAGAATAATGGAAAGGATCAGAGATTTTAGTAAGATGAAGAAAGATGCAGAAAACTTGCTAGTTGTCTTCAAGTAAATATTTTAAAAATCAGAGAATATTTCATTTGTCTTATGACAGAAAACTAAGATCTGTGAGCAAAAAATCAAAAGCAATAGTATCTCAACATAAAAACTGTTATTCTAACAACTCTCTGAAAATGAGGTCGATTCTGCTAGAGGCAGTGATCTGACAGTGGTGATCTAAAAAAAACAACGAGCTGTAAGTTAAGTAGCTGGTTAACTGCTGCTTGTAATGCTGGAATTCCATGTTAGATCACTGGTTTGAGTCCTGGAAACTCCACTTTGTGACCTGGCTCCCAGCTGCAGCAGCCAGGAAGGCAGCAGAAGATGCCCCATTTACCTGGTCCCCTGCCACCCATGTGGGGGATCAGGTTGAGGTTTCTAACTTCTGGCTTCAACCTGGTTCAGCCCTAGCCATTATGGCCGTTTGCCAAATAAGTCAACACATGGAAAATCAATCTCTCTCTGCCACTCAAATGAGTTTTTAAAACTTTTTAAAATTTTACTTTACTTGAAAGTTAGAGCTACAGAGAAGGAAATCCACTGGTTTACTCCCTAACAAAGGCCAGAGCTGAGCCAATCTGAACCCAGAAGCTTCTACTAGTTCTCCCACATGGTCCCAGAGGCCCAAGGACTTGGCCCATCTTCTGATGCTTTCCTAGGCCATTAGCAGAGAGCTGGATAGGAAGTGGAGCAGGCAGGACTGATACTGGCCCCTAAAAGGGCTGCTTGAGCCACAGGTGGAGGATTAATGTGATAGACTACTTGCCTGCCTAAAGTAAATCTTTTTTAAAAGCTTCCTGTTTATGTTGTAGAGAGGATTTAGGTAAGCAAACAGATTTCTAGTAAAATTTCAACCAAGCCTAAATTTTAAGTTCAAAGTTTTATAAATTTTTACTGTCTTAAGATTTATTTACTTATTTGAATGACAAAGAGGGAGGCAGTAGTCCACAGACTCAGAAAATTGAAGCTGAAGTAATTTGGAGATTCATTTGTCTATACTAAAAACCTAATGGCAAGGCCGGTGTTGTATGGAGGGTAAAAGCTACCACCCACAACGTCAGTGTCCAATAAGGGCACCAGTTCACGTCTGAGCTACTCCAGTTCTGATCCAGCTCTCTGCAAATGATCTGAAGATGGCCGGGATACCTGGACCCCTTCCACCCGCATGAGGGATCCAGAAGACAGCCTGGCTAGCCCCAGCTCTTTCTTGCAGAACATCTGGGAATCAAGCCAGCAGATGGAAGATCTGTTTGTCTCTGCCTCTCCCTCTCTTTGTCTTTCTGCAACTCTAGCTTTCAAATAAGTAAATCTTTAAAAAAAAAAAAAAAAAAAGCCACTCTGTGCCTGTTTACAAAACTTGAAAGCATTAAGTGAAAGAAGTCACAAAAGATTACATGGTATAAAATTTTGTTTTATATGAAATGTCCAAGATTGACAAATATATGCAGAAAGTAAATTAGTGCTTATCAGATGCTGAGAAAGGCAAAGGGAGAAATGGGGAATGACTGGTCCTTTTACAGGGGAGTAATTAAAATGAAATTGATTGTGATGTGATTATATAGTTCAGTATGTTGAAATCATTAATTGTAGATTTTATATGGGTTTTGGGTGAAATATATGGTGTTTGAATTTATTTCAATAAAGCTGTTAAAAATAATGAGTATCTGTTGCTATCACTTTAAAATTTCTCAGTTCTGATTTCCATCATATCATATCACTCAGCCATCCTATAATATGCTTTTTTAATTTTTTGTCTTACGTATGTTTGTTTCCCATACCAAAATATAACTTCTAAGAAGGTAGGGTCCTTGTTTTGTCCTTACTGTATCCCAAGTAACATAGAACAGTGCTGGCACACAGTAGGTAATAAATACAAATTTTGGTGATGGATAGAATGAATGAGATTTAAGTCTTTCAGTCACTTTTTATATCCTCTTAAAGTAGGAAAACTATAATTCTTCAGTGTGATCACTTTGTACTGCCTCTTACTGCAGTGGCAGATACATGCGCTGGTTTTTTTGGTTGTTGCAGCCAGTATTTTTGAATTGTACTGGTGTATAGAAAAGACAACTACCTCGACTTCATCCTCTTGTATTAAATGCCATGCAACAGCTAGTTTTTTATGAGCACTAAGGCCAGTGGTGTGGGGAATCACTTGTAAAGGAAAATCACATCATCTCTGCCCCAACATTGGCTGAAGTATCCAAACACGCTGTTAGAAATTGAACTAAGCATTCTATACATTTATTGTTGAAAGCCTAGTACTGGCATTGTGCCAAATGCAACATCTCTTTACTTCTATTGTCTAAAACCCAATTTAGGATAGTAGCTACAAATTGGCTTGCAGGAATACTTTGTACAATGCTTTATAAATTATTTATAAAATTATAAATTTTCATATAAATTATTCTCTTAGCCTCACAAAAATACCTGTGGGACTGGTGGAATTATTTTCCAGATTGGTGAAGCAGAAGCAAGGAGGTTGGGATTTATTAAAGGTCATTCAAGTAAATGGCTGAGCCAGAATTTGACCTCACATCTAATGACTTCCCAGGGTTATGTTTTCACTTCAGCATTCAGTTTCCATATAAGCTGCTTGTAAATTTGGGTAGTTTAAGAAATGTATCTTTATCTTGAGATTTAAACAGCATAAATATGCTTCCCATTTCTCAGGTAAAAAAAAACTGTGTCTTAGACTGAC